GACCCTGAGAAAAGGAGGGGGCTCAGAGCCCTCACTGATCTCTGTTTGCTTGTCCTGGACTTTGTCTCACAGAGCAGCTTCTGGGAAGAGTTTATTGTCCTTAGGCCAGGGTCACCTTCTGGCCTGTCTTCTGGTCTTTGTGGGAGAGAAGCTGGATCAACATGACACTGTACATTTGAAGTTCTGCTTATTTCCTGTGCCAGTATCGACCGAGCCCTGCAGTGTGTTGGGCACAATGCTAGGCACTGGGACGCCACCATACAGAAACTTGGGTGTCCTGCTGTGTTCAGTGAGCTGATGTCAGGGGAAAAGGGAATCAGACAAGTCAAAGGGAGCCGACTGAATTCCAACGAGTGATGAGAAGCTGAAGAGGTAGAAATTTGGAGGGGCAGAGGCTCATCTCCCGCAGGGATTAGGAGAAGGTTCCTGGATGAGATGCCTGGAAAAAAGAGCAGTGCTTGGGAAGGGGAAGGTGGGAAGGGAGGGAGAGAAAAGCAGATGGGCAGGTGGGATGTATGCTGTGGGAATGTGGAGGTGTCTGGGATGGGAGCAGGAGCTGATGAAGAGGATGGGGAAGGTGGCTGGGAAGGGGGTTGGGACCAGCTGGCGCAGAGGTCTGAAAGTGATTAGACTTTTGGGTGGGAGATACTTAAGATATTTTGAGCAAGGGTGTGATGAGTTCAAGACTGGGCTGTTGAGAGATGGCTAGCACCAAGCCTGGTCCATGTAAAGTGCTAGAAGCATGTTTGCACAGGGGGAGGGTGGACAGGAGATGGGGAAAGCTAATTATGACCTGTGCCTGTCATGCTTCTCAGCATCATTTGTGTCCGAATTCATTTACTGCTCACAACTCCCCCCAAGAGACAGATATTATTGTTAATATTATCCTCATGGTACAGAGGAAGAGGAGAAATTGGCCTACCCTATGCATGTGGGAGATGGGGGCCAGGGTGGACAGAAAGCAGCTATGGTTGCTGCTGATTGAGAATGGGGAGGGTAACTGTGTTGCTGGTGCCAGCGGGACAGCACATGGGCCCAGACCTGCTCTGAGTTCCACCCCCGCACAGCCAACTGTCTGCTTGATTTGCCCAGAGCCCCTCCATCTGGTATGTCCAAATTGAACTCCTGACCTTTGTCTCCTCCTCCCCACAGCCCGCTACTAAGCCAGGTCTTCCCCCTGTTGTCCACTCCAGTGAAGGCCATCGTTATCCAGCTGGGCATCCAAGCCAGAAGGCTGGGTGGCATCTTGGGTGCCTCACTCTCCTTGACCACCTACCCCACCTCCCAACCTCTGAATATCCCTCTAATCCATTAACTTCTCTCCCCATCCCCAGTCACCACCTAGTTCAAGCCGCCCTCATCCCTCATTTAGACGGCTGATCTCCTTCTTCCACTCTGCTCCAGGCAGCAGCCAGAGTCACCATTTAGAAAGGTCAGTCTGCTGCAGGACTTCCCCTGTCTCACACACCCTATCCTGAGTGGTATGGCCCCTGCTGACCCCTCTATGTCACCTAGCCCATGGCCCCTCTGAGTCTCTCAGCTTCAACTGCAGAGACTTCTTTTAGATCCAGGTAGGCAGGTGTTTCTCCACTCATTCGTTCAGCAACCCACAATTCCTTCATTTACACCTGCTGGGTTTAGGGTGTTGAAGCAGACAGGCCTGGCCCAGTCCTCAGGGAGTTCACACTGAGGTGTGGAGGTAAAGTCACAAAGTGAGTCCATTGGGTCTTAGCACATGTTGCTCCTCTGCCTGAAAAAGTTTTTCTTTAAACTTCCACTCATGCGGTGCTTGCTTGGGGCAACCTCTCCTGGATGGCCAGGCTGGACCAGGCGGCTTTTCTACACAGTACTGACCTCAGTTGGCAAGGGCAGCTTGTTAGTATGCATAGCCGTCTCCCCCTTCGACTGTAAGCCCCACAGGGACAGGCCCTTGTCTGTCTTGTTCATAGTTGTCCTCCAGGGCCAGGCTAGTAGACCCTTGTCTGTAAAATGAAATATATATATATATATATACACACACACAATATAATTTTTTTTTTTTTTTTTGAGAAGGAGTCTTGCTCTGTTGCCCAGGCTGGAGTGCAGTGACACGATCTTGGCTCAATGCAATCTCCGCCTCCCAGGTTCACGTGATTCTCATGCCTCAGCCTCCTGAGTAGCTGGGATTACAGGAGCAGTGCGCCACAATTTTTTTATTGTGGTAAAATATACAGAACATAATATTTATTATTTAACCATATTTAAGAATACAGTTCAGTGGCTTCAGTACACTCATGTTGTGCAGCCATCACCACCATCCATCTCCAGGACTTTTTCATTTTCCCCAGCTAAAACTCTGCACCCATTAAACACTACCCACCAACTCCCTCCTCTCCCCAACCACTGGCAACCACCATTCTACTTTCTGAATCTGTGATTTTGACTACTACAGGTACCTTACATAAGTGAAATCATACTTTTGTCCTCTTGTGACTGCCTTATTTTATTTAGCATAATGTCCTCAAGGGTCATCCATGTTGTAGCACGTCAGAACATCCTTCCTTTTTAAAAATTCATTTATTTTGAGACAGAGTCTCACTCCGTCACTCAGGCTGGAGTGTAGTGCCAGGATCATGGCTCACTGCAGCCTCAACCTCTGGGGCTCAACTGATTCTCCCACCTCAGCCTCCCAGGTAGCTGGGACTACAGGCATGCACCACCACACCCAGCTAATTTTTATAATTTTTTGTACAGAAGGGGGTCTCACTGTGTTGCTTAGACTGGTTTCAAGTGATCCTCCCACCTTGGCCTCCCAAAGTGCTGGGATTAGGTGTGAGTCATAGTGTGCCGCCTCTAGAGCACTAACTTTAAAAAGCTTACAATTACAAATCCTTCTTCTGTCCCTCTGAGATATATACCTATGTATTTCCTACATCCTAGGAATGTCTTTCTCAAGGACCTGAAATCCATTCCTTTGAAATGTAATCATCAGAAAGGTAGGGCTCATGTCTCCCAGTCTATGTGGGAGAATAGAATCCTGACTTCCCTGATTGCCAGCTAGCAGACACAGTTGGCCTAATCACATTTACGCTAACCAATCCTTTTAATTTTTCACTTCCCAGACTCTAAGTGAGCCCCTGCTTGCTCCCCTGCCTACTCCCTTATTCTTCCTTTGGAATGCCCAATCACCTCTGCACAAATAGAATGGAGTTCAGCTCTTTCCCCTACCGCCAGTAGTTACTGAATAAAATCTATTTTCACCGTTTTAATGCTTGGCTTTGTTTACGTCTCGCTCTGTCACCCAGGCTGGAGTGCAGTGGCGTGATCTCGGCTCACTGCAAGCTCCGCCTCCTGGGTTCACGCCATTCTCCCGCCTCAGCCTTCTGAGTAGCTGGGACTACAGGTGTGCAGCACCACGCCCGGGTAATTTTTTGTATTTTTAGTAGAGATGGGGTTTCACTGTGTTAACTAGGATGGTCTTGATCTCCTGACCTCGTGATCCGCCTACCTTGACCTCCCAAAGTGCTGGGATTACAGGCTTGAGCCACCACGCCCGGCCTGTTTATCTTTAATAATATCATTAACTAGAGTTCAATCTTTATTTATGGTTCTTTTTGTTTGGTTTTCTAGTGAAGATGAAATTTGCTTTGAGGGAAAATGTGCAAATATTAAATTTAGCATTAGATAATTTTGACAAATCCATACACCCAAATCTCCTATCAAGAAATAGATCAAGGATGAGGAGAAATTTGAACCCTTGTGGATTGCTGATGGGAATGTAAAACGGTTCAGCTTGCTGTGGAAAATGGTGTGGTGGTTTCTCAGTACATTAAACTAGAATTAGCATATGATCCAGCAATTTCACTTCTGAGTGTATATCCAAATGAATTAAAAAGAAAGCAGGGATTCAAACAGATATTAGTACACCCATGTTTATAGCAGAATTATTCACAATAGTTAAAAGATGGAAGCTATCCGTGTCCATGACTGCATGAATGGATAAACAAATTGTGGTGTATATATATACAATGGAATATTATTTGGCCATAAAAAGGAAAGACGCCAGGCACAATGGCACACATATCGGCATTTTGGGAGGCCATTGTGGGCGAACTGCTTGACCCCGGGAGTTCAAGACCAGTCTGGGGAACTTAGTGAGACCCTGTCTCTGAAAAAAATAAAATAGAATTAGCCAGGCATGGAGGTGTGTGCCTGTAGTTGGGAGGATGGCTTGAGCCCAGGGAGTCTAAGCAGCAGTGAGCACCATTGCACCACTGCACTCCAACCTGGGTGACAGGGTCAGACGCTGTCTCAAAAAAAAAAAAAAAAAAAGAAGCGGTCTAGAAAAGGGAGGCATTGGCTGGAACAAATGGTGAATTCTTTTGGCACCCCTGAGCTTTCTTGGGCGGACATTTTAAAGGGGCCTAGGTCCACCTGGAGATCCGCCCTTAGGCTATTAACTTAGCATAACTCCATGCTAGAGTTTAGTCAGGTCTCTTAGTGCGGTGGTTAGGGCAGTCGTTAACTGCTGAGGAGTCTTTGTAGTTCTCAATTAGCAGGCGAAAGTTTTTAGGGATGAAAGGTACTGACATCTCCAATTTACTTTGAATGTACCAAAAAATAGGATGGATTGCTGGATGCAGAGACGGCATGTGATAAAGCGGATACAGCAAATGTTACTGGTACAGTCTGTCACCAATCATTAGAACATGAGCTCCAGGAGGGCAGGGGCTTTGTCGGCCTGGCACATAGGCAGTCAATAAATATTCGTAGAATGAACGAACAATACTTGTAACGGGCTTAGGACAAACAAGTGCACAATAAGAGGAAGCTTTCCCTGACTCTGCCGTGGCAGGGACCCGGACGGTGGAACCGACGAACAGATAGCACGCGGGGCCTGGAGAAGTCGCTCTGGCCTCCTGGAGCCTCTGCTCTATGGTGGGTCCTCCCGGGGCTGCGGAACCTCTCTGGCCGCTCGTGGCGTCCGCTCTATGGCGGTCCCTTGGGGACGCAGGAGCATGCGCAGACTGCTCCCGGCCCGGATCGCTATGGCAGCGGCGTCGTCGTGGGCTGGGACCCTGCGATCCCGCCCGGGCCTGGCTGCCTCAACAGCCGCCTCCGCTGCACACTTTAGGGCATGAACCGAGCCTCCTGCTGCCGCCCGCTGCCCTACCCGCCGCTGCCGCCGCATCCCGACTCTGGGCCAGCGCTGGGAACATGCCCCTGGCCGCCTACTGCTACCTGCGGGTCGTGGGCAAGGGGAGCTACGGAGAGGTGACGCTTGTGAAGCACCGGCAGGACGGCAAGCAGGTCTGCAGGGGTGAGGCTCGGCAAGGGCCGGGGGCGGGCAGAGGTGCGCCGAGGGCGCCTACCGGTAGATTAGATCGGGAGTGGTCGCAAGGGGCTCATCTCGGATGGCATTTCCTCAGGGAGATGGTCCCAGACCAAGATGAGGCCAGGCCTCCCTGTAATATGCGCCCAGAACTTCCTCTACTTCTTTGTTGTATTAATTTTTTTCCTTTTAATTTTCATTTTCTTTAATTACGATTCTTCGTTTTATGAAGAATTTTCAGTCTCTGCATATCTATTTCTTTGTTGTATTAATTGACATGCTTGATCTACACACCTTTCTCCCACCCCCGACAATCTCATGAGAGCAGGTATCATGCATTCCCAGGACTTAACACAGCGCCTAGCAAGCATTATTCCTTGCATAATGGGCCTCAAACGTCTCTACTGTAGACTGCTGGACTCACTTAAAACTCGGACTCATTTTCTTCCCGCTAAACCTTATTTCATGTCTTCCGTTTCAGTGAATAGCGACACCAACCCACCAGTTGCCCAAGTCGGACACCTGAAGTCATTTTTAAGCCTCCCCACGCACCCCAACACTGATTATATTTATCTATCACTAAGACAGTAGGCCTCTTCTCATCTCTATTGGTACCACCCTAATCCAGGACACCTTGTTTTCTCTAGCTAGGCTATGGCCACAGTTTCCCAACTGGTCGCTGCTACTTGACTTGCTTTTCTCCAATCCATCACTTTCATTGCAGCCTTAGTGATCCTTCTAAAATTTAAATCTGATGTCACTCCTCCTTTCTTTAAAACACTTTATCCCATTACCCTCAGGATAATGAACCAGTTCTTCAATGTGGTATATTAATAGGGTGACAATATAATGTATTGTACAAACTGGGACAATTTTGAAACTGAAAGGAGGCACTATCAATAGTTACACCAGGACAATAGGACTGCTCCAGCCAAGCTGAGAGGAGATGTCCCCGTTAAATATAGGGCCCAATTGCCTGTTCTTCCTTGTCTCTGGTGCTAGTTGCTTTGCCTGGAACACAAGCTCATGCATAAGAGATTTATTCAGTAGGCATTGGGGGAATCATTGGATTTTGGGGCTGATAATAGGGAACTAGCAATAGCTAGTTATTTGAACTTTAGTTTACACTTCACAAAACACATTTATGTATGTGTTGAAGAAATGAATTGTATAGTCTTTGAAATGATTGAGGGCAATGTATTAGGTGTTAGAGGCTATTGTTTTCTTTTAAGTGAATAATTTTCTATGCTGAAGATCAGTGACTATTAAACTTATGGGGCCATGGATCCCTTTGAGTATCTAATGTAATCCATGGACTATTCTGTCTGCAAATGTTTATTCAGGCCATATTTTATGCACCTTTTTGGGAGAGTTTAGATGTTAAGAAATTTCTTTTTTTTAAATTTTTTTTGAGACAGAGTCTTGCACTGCCTCCCAGGCTGGAGTGCAGTGGTGCGATCTTAGCTCACTGCTGCAATTTCTGCATCCCACGTTCAAGCGATTCTCCTGTGTCAGCCTTCCGAGTTGCTGAGACTACAGGTACACACCACCACGCCGGGCTAATTTTTGTATTTTTAGTAGAGACGGGTTTCACCGTGTTGACCAGGCTGGTCTTGAACTCCTGACCTCAGGTGATCCACCCACCTTGCCCTCCCAAAGTGCTGGAATTACAGTCGTGAGCCACTGTGTACGGCCAGACATTAAGAAATTGCTAACACAGGTTTTATAATTGATCCAATAGTATGTTATCTTGAACTCACTTTTTTTAGTCATTAATGAAATTGTGAAATGCAGATGGAAAGGTAATTTTTTTGTGGCCTTACAGTGCTATAAATCTAACTTATAAGAAGTATCATTAATAATAGCAAATATTTTCCCCGGTTTTGTATTTGGTGAAAAACAAAATGAATAGGTTATCTGACAGGCTCTACAAGGTTGGTTTTGAGGATATTCTTGAGAGCCCTTAGATAACTCTGAGGCCACAAATCTTGTGTTTATTTGCACGTTGTAAAAATACATGTTTTGTTTTTAGTATGTCATCAAAAAACTGAACCTCCAAAATGCCTCTAGCCGAGAGCGGCGAGCTGCTGAACAGGAAGCCCAGCTCTTGTCTCAGTTGAAGCATCCCAACATTGTCACCTACAAGGAGTCATGGGAAGGAGGAGATGGTCTGCTCTACATCGTCATGGGCTTCTGTGAAGGAGGTGATCTGTACCGAAAGCTTAAGGAGCAGAAAGGGCAGCTTCTGCCTGAGAATCAGGTGGTAGAGTGGTTTGTACAGATCGCCATGGCTTTGCAGGTACTGTGTAGACTAATAGCATCCTAGCTTGTTCCCAGATGACAAGAAGATGGCAGGTGTATTTTAGGAAAATTTTTCTTCAGATACTTACATATGGAAATGTATTTTTTGGAAAATTCATTTGTGAAGTTGACCCAGTCACTCTTGCTGTAGCATTGGAACTTTTCTAAGCAACTGATACCTATATTAAAATAGACCTAGATTTCATATCTAATTGCAGGGGAAGCCCACTCATTTAATATTTATAGCAAAGTCAATTTTAAGGACCCTGAGCCAACCAAGAGCAAAGAGTGACTATGTTTGTTATCCATTGGTCAGTTGTGTCATGCTGAAAGGTAGCTAGGCTAATTGATATGCCCAAGTGATTTCATCTGTCACCCTGCTGGGGTACAGTAGATGGAAATGCAAAATAAGTTTTCTTTTTTTTTATTTTTTAGAATTGGGCAGCACTTCATTCTATAAGATGGAATAAGTGTTCCTACAAGTTTGTGTTTTAATATGCATGTAACTCAAAAGCAAGACTGTTTATGAAATATTATTTTGGAACTGGGTAGACTTGTCCAGAATTAATTGACCATGTTTAAATTCTGAGATACTTCCTCTAAATAAAAATGCTCTTGCTATACTTGAAAATATTATTAAGCTGAGGATTTCATGTGTCTGACTTTGTATAAGTTGCCTACCTTCAGTGGGAGTTTGTAAGCATTTTTTTTTTGAGACAGAGTGTCACTGTCGCCCAGATTCAAGTGCAATGGCTTAATCATGGCTTGTTCCAACCTCCCGCTCCTGGGTTCAAGATTCTCATGCTTCAGCCTCCCAAGTAGCTGGGATTATAGGCATGCGTCACCATGCCCAGCTAATTTTTGTATTTCTTTAGTAGAGATGGGGTTTTGCCATGTTGGCCAGGCTGGTCTTGAACTCCTGGCCTCAAGTGATCCACCCACCTCAGCCTCCCAAACTGCTGAACAATGCGCCCGGCCTGTAAACATATTTTTAAACTGGATTCATGTAGTCCCAAAATGTATTAATTGTCAAGCTACGAGAGAACAGTTTTGATGTGTACTGGGTAAGTCAATGCATGGAACTTAATTTTCTCGTTTGAAATATTGTAAATTAGACCTTTTATTTAGAGATTATAAAGCAATGATGTTTGGTAGGTATTTGTTTGTTGAATAAGGAATTGTATGGTTGGTTACTCTTTATGGTCAAAGACTGTAACTCATGCCATTGCTGATGGTATATAATAGGCCAGGAATAAATACATAATTGAGTCTATTTATATGTAATAAAATCTTGTTTCTTTCCTCAGTATTTACATGAAAAACACATCCTTCATCGAGATCTGAAAACTCAAAATGTCTTCCTAACAAGAACAAACATCATCAAAGTGGGGGACCTAGGAATTGCCCGAGTGTTAGAGAACCACTGTGACATGGCTAGCACACTCATTGGCACACCCTACTACATGAGCCCTGAATTGTTCTCAAACAAACCCTACAACTATAAGGTAGAATTGGGCTCTGTATGCTGGCTTACCTAGTACTCGTAATTTCAGAAGTTAGTTAAGTCAGATAATTATGAATTGGTTTAAGGAAAATGTTTTCTTTTTTTAAAGGGGAAAAAATGTAAATAAGCTATTCTGACATTTAACCATTTACTGTTTTTATTTTCTAGTCTGATGTTTGGGCTCTAGGATGCTGTGTCTATGAAATGGCTACCCTGAAGCATGCTTTCAATGCAAAAGATATGAATTCTTTAGTTTATCGGATTATTGAAGGAAAGGTAAAGAATAATCTAGAACTAATTGACCAGTATTTCTATAGTGCAGCTTTATAAATAGCTACTAGCAAAATCATTGATGATTTTGATGAGTCAGTGAGTAATTATTGATATTGGGTTGATAGTTAACAATGGTGGGTCCCCTCTGTGGGGAAGGTCAGACTAGAGGGAAAGGGATTGATGGATCATTTCTTAATATTAATCTGTAAGACGGCTTAATGGCTGAAAAGAATTGGCTTTTTGAAAACCTATGCCTATAGTCATAGGATGTGCAGATGCCCTGAGAGGCTATTTATCTCTTCTTCTAAGCAGCCTATGATTGAATGAGCTACATTTAAAATGAGTTTACTCTGTTTGAACTTGTTGTTCCTTTGATAATCATCACAATAATCAATAACTAGTTAAGAACCACAGAAAGCATTGTGTCTGATATAGACTCCAGAGTGACCGACTTTGTATGTTCCATGAGGCTAGTTGCCTTTATAGTGTCAGGCATCCGTGTACTGTTAAGGGATTTTTTTTTTTTTTTGAGATGGAGTTTTGCTCTTGTCTCCTAGGCTGGAGTGCAATGGCATGATCTCAGCTCACAGCAACCTCTACCTCCTGGGTTCAAGTGATTCTCGTGCCTTAGCTTACCAAGTAGCTGGGATTACAGGCATGTGTCACCATGCCCAGCTAATTTTTATATTTTTAGTACAGATGGTGTTTTACCATGTTGGCCAGGCTGGTCTCGAACCTCAGGTGACGTGCCCGCCTCAGCCTCCCAAAATGCTGGGATTGCAGGTGTGAGCCACCGCGCCTGGCCAATGTACTGTTAAGTTTTAAAGGCCATGAATCACCTATTGATTTTAATACTATCCCACAACTCATTTAATTTTTCAATTTGAAACATATTGAAAAACATACACAAAAGTAAAATTTTCCCATAATGCCACTACTTAAGAATCAAACAAGAAGGGAGTGAAATTCTCTTCTCCTTCTATTCCCATTCCCTGGAAGATGACCATTGCTAGCAATTTGGTACATGGCCTTTCTGTTTTTTTCCTGCCTTTATACAGACATAACTCTGTGTGTGTGTGTGCATGTGTACACGTACACCCACAGATTCTTAAACTGAAATGGAATCAGGCTGTTTGCATGGTACATAACTTGTTTTTTTGACTTAATACATGAGGGACATCTTTCCAAGTTGGTACCTGCAAGTCTTGGTTTTTTGTTTTTTGTTTTTTTTTAGATGGAGTCTCACTCTGTCACCCAGGCTGGAGTGCAGTGGCGCAATCTTGGCTCACTGCAAGCTCCGCCTCCTGGGTTCACACCATTCTCCTGCCTCAGCCTCCCAAGTAGCTGGGACTACAGGTGCCCGCCACCATGCCCAGCTAATTTTTTGTATTTTTAGTAGAGACAGAGTTTCACTGTGTTAGCCAGGATGGTCTCGATCTCCTGACCTCATGATCCACCTGCGTGGCCTCCCAAAGTGCTGGGATTACAGGCATGAGCCACTGTGACTGGCTGCTGCTTCTTTATAAGAAGAATGTATGATAATTTATTCCACAGATCCACTATGGGACATTTATGTTTCCAGTTGTTTACTACTGCAAGAACAGTACTGCATTGAACATCCTGGTACATAAGTCTTTAGGAAACTCATACTCTTATTTCTGAGAGAGTGTCATCAGATGGGACTGCTGGGTTGAAGGATATACTTTTATAATTTTACAACTTGTTATCTTACAACTGGGATACCAGTACACTTCCTGTAGACTAACATACTGATTGTTTTCTGCTTATGTGGATATATGACTATAAATAAATATTGGGAAACCTCTATCAGCTTTTACTTTGTTTCACAAGACCATTAGTCATAATTACAGTATTATTTTTCTTTGTAGCTGCCACCAATGCCAAGGGATTACAGCCCAGAGTTGGCAGAACTGATAAGAACAATGCTGAGTAAACGGCCTGAAGAAAGGCCGTCTGTGAGGAGCATCCTGAGGCAGCCTTATATAAAGCGGCAAATCTCCTTCTTTTTGGAGGCTACAAAGATGTAAGCTACTTCCCTTGCAAATAGCTGGGCTAAATAGATGGGGTAAAAGAGGGTGGCTTCTATAATATTCATATGCAAGAATTAATGGTGGGTTCTTTTTTTAAAAACAAGAAATAAAATGGCCTGATTACATATGTAGAGGAGGCAAGATTCTACCCTCTTAGGGTTTTTTGGCTGAGTTTGAGAATTAAACTTACAATTTAACAGGAGAAAAGTATATAGATTTATTTAATACCTGAATAAGTTTTATGTGACACAGGAGCCCTCATAAGGAAATGAAGACCCAAAGAAGTGGCAAAACCTAAATGCTTTTGTGCTTGATTCAACAAAGAGAGGGAATTGTGGAAAAGTAAACTATGTGGAGAGGAAGATAAGAATTATTTTAATAAGGTCTGTTTATAGAATTCTCTCAGTTCAGCTTTCCATTCTTAATAATAAGAATGTTACTTTCCTTCTGATACAGGGAGGGCATATTTCATATGGGAGTTTTATCTTCTGCTTTCTGGAAGAAAAAGGGAAGGTCAGAGTATCCTTCTTGCACCTACTTTTTTTTTTTTTTGAGATGGAGTCTTGCTGTGTCACCCAGGCTGGAGTGCAGTGGCATGATCTCAGCTCACTGCAACCTCCGCCTCTCGGGTTCAAGCAATTCTCCTGCATCAGCCTCCCCAGTAGCTGGGATTATAGGCGCCCGCCACTGTGCCCGGCTAATTTTTGTATTTTTAGTAGATACAGGGTTTCACCATGTTGGCCAGGCTGGTCTTGAACTCCTGACCTCGTGATCCGCCCGCCTCAGCCTCCCAAAGCTTGCACTTACTTTTTAAAGAACCTTAGCCCAAAATGATCTTTATGCCAAAGTAGCACTTTTGGCATGGCATATTCTCCCAGTCTTCAAATACATGTTGAAATTTGCTTAATTGCTAAAATCAGAAATTTGGAGAACCACTGTCATATTCCTCAGAGGGTTCTAAGACATATAGTGTAAATTGTTTTTAAAAGCACATATGCACTACTCTGGGTTCCCTGCCTATGAGTTAGCCGTGTTCTCAAGGAGCAGCCAAATAATAAAAGAGGGCATATGTTTTAGAAATCATATTATAATTAGAGATTAAGAAACCTATATGTCTTACTATGTAATATGGTAATATTTAAAAAGTAGTGCTCACATTTCTGAGAGCTTGCATAAAGTTCCCTCTTCATTCATATAACTTCCCGAGAGAATTCCTTGCTTTGACTTGCAGGTCCTGCCTTTACTAAACAGGTGTTCCAGGATCTAAGACTTAGGGCTGGACAAAACTATCACAATCTGTTTGGCTTCTCCTCTTGCCTTGTGGCATGTTAAATTTGGAAAGAGAGGTGGCAATGCTACAGATTCCTGAGGGAATAAAGAATAACCATCTTGGCCGGGCGCGGTGGCTCACGCCTGTAATCCCAGCACTTTGGGAGGCCGAGACGGGTGGATCACGAGGTCAGGAGATCGAGACCATCCTGGCTAACACGGTGAAACCCCGTCTCTACTAAAAATACAAAAAATTAGCTGGGTGCAGTGGCGGGCGCCTGTAGTCCCAACTACTCGGGAGGCTGAGGCAGAAGAATGGCGTGAACCCGGGAGGCGGAGCTTGCAGTGAGCTGAGATCCGGCCACTGCACTCCAGCCTGGGCGACAGAGCAAGACTTCGTCTCAAAAAAAAAAAAAAAAAATTAAAGAATAACCATCTTTTTGTGTACATTGTCTATATAATTTCCCACCAAGCAGAACTTTGGCCTTCCAGTGCACTGATCTCCATGCTTGTCTTGAATTCTCCAGAGGTTTAGCCCAGTTTTAGAACTGACATGCTAAAATAGTTGGGGATATTATTCCTGTATACATTTATTAAAGTCAGCATTAAGTATACCAATCAGTTTTACTCTCAAAGTTAGCCAAGCAGTTGTGGTATTATTACAAACATGTAAAATTTGAAAATGAAAATTAACCTGGTACTCCCATATGTGAGGCAGTCTCCCACAGAATTTTTATTTTGGAATAATTTTGTATAAACAGAAAATTTGGAAAGATAGTGTGGAAAGTTCCTGTATACCCCTCATCTAATTTCTTCTGTGATTACTGGATTACATACCCTGATGCATTTGTCAAAACTAAGAAACCAACATTGAAATATTACTATTGACTTGGCCATGCGTGGTGGCTCATGCCTGTAATCCCAGCACTTTGGGAGGCCGAGGCTGGCAGATCACCTGATGTCAGGAGTTTGAGACCAGCCTGGCCAACATGGCAAAACCCCATCTCTACTAAAAAAAAAATACAAAAAAATTAGCCAGGCGTGGTGGCACACGCCTGTAGCCGCAGCTACTCAGGAGGCTGAGGCACAAGAATTGCTTGAACCCAGGCAGTGGAGGTTGCAATGAGCTGAGATCACGCCACTGCACTGTAGCCTGGGTGACAGAGTGAGACTCTGTCCCAATTAAAAAAAAAAAAAAAAAGAAAAGTATTACTATTGACTAAATTTCGGACTTTCTTTGGCTTTCACCAGTTTTTTCTCTCTAACATCTCTTTTCTATTCCAGGATCCAATCCAGGATATAGTACATCTAATCAGGGGTCTGTGATCGTTTCTCACTTTCTTTATTTTTTATGACCTTGTTTCTTTCAAAGACTACTGGTCAGGTGTTTTGTAGGATGCCCTTTAGATTTTTAGAAAACTCTTCTCTATAAATGGTGCAGTTCTGTAAGGGAATTCATTGTATACACACACTTCCACCTATACATAAAAACCCATAATCTTCAGTATATTGATAATAACTCTTTCTTTTCTTCTTCATAAAGAAAAACCTCCAAAAGTAACATTAAAAATGGTGACTCTAAATCCAAGCCTTTTGCTACAGTGGTTTCCGGAAAGGCAGAATCAAATCATGAAGTAATCCACCCCCAACCACACTCTTCTGAGGGCTCCCAGACATATATAATGGTATGTTTCTTTTTAAAGGGTATGTGTTTTAGAAACTGCACTTAGAAAAATGGGCCATTTAAGCAAATTATTTTATGTGAAATGATTATGCTTTACTAGAGATTCTGTTGTACAATTAATTCCTTATTGTAAAGAAAGAGTACTGGTTAAGTGATTGATTTAGCTTTATCCAAATTGGGCTGTCAAAATGTTCATGAAATCAGTGCTGTAATAACTTTTAAGAATTTTTTAGGTGAAATTTATGTAACGAAATTAACCATTTTAAAGTAAACAATTAAGGTGGGTGCGGTGGCTCATGCCTGCAATTCTAGCACTCTGGGAGGCCGAGGCTGGCAGATCACCTGAGGTCAGGAGTTCAAGACCAGCCTGGCCAACATGGAGAAACCCCGTCTCTACTAAAAATACAAAAATTAGCCAACTGTGGTGGCGTGTGCCTGTAGTCCTAGCTACTCAGGAGGCTGAGGGAGGAGAATAGCTTGAACCTGGGAGGCGGAGGTTGCAGTGAGCCAAGATTGTACCACTGTACTCCAACCTGGGTGACAGAATGAGACACTGTTTCAAAAATAAAAATAAATAATTAAATAAAGTGATCAATTAAGTGTGGCCAGTACATTCACAGTGTAGTACAACCATCACTTCTATGTAGTTCCAAAACATTTTTATCACCCCAAAGGAAATCTCTTCCTCATTAAGCAGTCACTCCCCATTTTGTCCTTCACCTAGCCTCTGGCAACCACCAGTGTGTTTCCTGTCTCTATGAAGTCACCTTTCCTGGATATTTCATGTAAATAGGATCATTAAATATATGACCTTTTGTTTCTGGTGTCTTCCACATAGCATATTTTCAAGGTTGATCCATGTAGCATGTATAAATACTTCATTTCTTTTTAGGTCTGGCTACCATTGTATGGATATACCACAGTTTGTTTATCCATTCATCCATTAGTAGACATTTGAGTTTTTTTCACCTTTTGGCTATTGCTATGAATATATGTGTACATGTAGTTGAGTACCTGTTTTCCGTTCTTTTGTGTCCATACCTAGCGGTGGAATTACTGAATCAAATGGTAATTTTTGATTTGACTTTTTTTTGGTTTGACTTTTTGAGGAACTGTTGCACTGTTTTCTACAGTGGCTGTACCGTTTGACATTCCCATCAGCAGTGCACAAGGGTTTCAGTTTCTCTACATCTTTGCCAACACTTGTTATTTTCTGATTTTTTGATTCTAGCCATCCTAGTGGGTATAAAGTGGTATCCTATTGTATTTTTGATTTGTATTTCCTTAATGATTAATGACATACAGCATCTTTTCACATGCTTGTTGGCCATTTGTATGTCTTCTTTGGAGAAATATCTGCTAAAGCTTTTGCCTTTTTTTTTTATACAGGGTCTCACTCTGTTGCCTAGGCTGGAGTACAGTGTTGTGATCATGGCTCACTCTAGCTTCTACCTCTTGGGATCAAGTGATCCTCCCACCTCAGCCTCCTGAGTAGCTGGGACCACAGCATGCCGCTATGCCTGGCTAATTTTTTTATTTGTAGAGACAACGTCTTTCTATATTGCCTGGGCTGGTCTCAAACTCCTGGGCTCAGGCGATCCTCCTACCTTGGCTTTCCAAACAAAGTGCTGGGATTATAGGCATGAGCCACTGTGCCCAGGCTTTTTTTTTCTTTTTTTAAGAGAGGATCTTGCTCTGTCACCCAGGCTGGAGTACAGTGGCATCATCATAGCTCACCACAGCCTCTGAACTTGACTCAAGGGATCCTCCTACCTCAGCCTTCCGATTAACTGGGTCTACAGGTGCACGCCACCATACCTGGCTAACTGTTACGATTATTTTTGTAGAGGTGGGTCTCACTATGTTGCTCAGGCTGGTCTCAAACTCCTGGGCCCAAGCAGTTCAGTTCTTCTGCCTTTTCCTCCCAAAGTGCTGATATTACAGGTATGAGCCACATCACCCAGCCCCTGCCCAGTTTTAAATTGTATTTTTGTCTTTTTGTTGTTGAGTCGTAAGAGTTCTCTATCTGTGTTCCAGATACTAGTCCCTTGTCAGACAGACAACTTGCAATATTTTCTCCATTGTATAGGTTGTCTTTTCTTTCCCTTTTTAATTAACTTTTCTTTTTTGTTTTTAAAAATTTCTTTTGTTTTTTTCACTTTCTTGATAATGTCCTTTTCACAAAAGCTTCTAATTTTGATGAAGTCCAGTTTATCTATTTTTTTATTTTGTTGTCATAGCTAAGAATCCCTTGCCAAATCCAATGTCTTGAAGGTTTATGCCATAGTTTCTTGTAACAATTTTATAGTTTTAGCTCTTATATTTAGGTTGTCGATCCAATTTTAATTTTTTCATTATGATAAAATACACATAATGTAAAATTTACTATCTTAATCGTCTGTAAATGTACAATTCAGTGGTGTTAAATACATCTATAATGTTATGCAGCCATCATCACTCATCTTCATGACTCTCATATTGTAAAACTGAACTCTGTTCTCTTTAAACAGTATCTCCCCATTCCCTACTACCCCAGTCCCTGGCAATCACTGTTCTACCATTCTTCTTCTTCTTCTTTTTTTTTTTTTTTTTTGAGATGGAGTCTTGCTGTGTCGCCCAGGCTAGAGTGCAGTGGCATGATCTCAGCTCACTGCAACCTCCACCTCCCTGGTTCAAGCAATTCCCCTGCCTCAGCCTCCCGAATAGCTGGGATTACAGGTGCATGCCACGACATCTAGCTAATTTTTTTGTGTTATTAGTAGAGACAGGGTTTCAACATGTTGGCCAGACTGGTCTCGAACTCCTGACCTCAGGCAATCCACCTGCCTCGGCCTCCCAAAGTGCTGAGATTACAGGTGTGAGCCGCTGTGCCTGGCCCACCATTCTACTTTCTATCTCCATGGTTTTGACTAGTGTAAGTACCTTGGATAAGGGGATCATGCAGTATTTGTCTTTCATGACTGCCTTGTTTCGTTTCACATAATATCCTCAAGGTTCATCCATGTTGTGACATATGTCAGAATTTCTTTCCTTTTTAATGCTGAATAATATTATGTTGTATGTGTCCCACATTTTGTTTATCTGGTTCATCTGCAGATGTACATTTGTGTTGTTTCCACCTTTTTGCTATTGTGAATAATGCTGCTATGAACATGGGTGTACACGTATCTCTTTGAGACCCTGATTTCTTTTTTCTTTTTTTCTGAGACGGAGTCTCACTGTTACCCAGGTTGGAGTGCAATGGCACAATCTTGGCTCACTGTAACTTCCACCTCCTGGGTTCAAGCGATTCTCCTGCCTCGGCCTCCCAAGTAGCTGGGATTACGGGCATGTGCCACCATGCCTAGCTAATTTTTGTATTTTTAGTAGAGATGGGATTTCACCATGTTGGCCAGGCTGGTCTCAAACTCCTGACCTCAAGTGATCCACCCGCCTTAGCCTCCCAAAGTGCTGGAATTACAGATATGAGCCACTGCTCCCAGCCAAGACCCTGATTTCTGTTTTTTGGGGTATATAACCAGAAGTGGAACTGCTGACCACATGGTAATTCTATTTTTAACTTTTTGAGGACCTGTAGTACTGTTTTCCACAACTTCTGTATCATTTTACATTCCTATCAGCAGTACACAAAGGTTCCAGTTTCTCTACATTCTCACCAGTACTTGTTATTTTCTGGGATTTGTTAGTAATAGCCATCCTGACGGGCATGAGATGGTATCTCATTGTAGTTTTGATTTACATTTCCCTAGTGATTAGTTATATTGAGCATTTTTTGTGTGCTTCTTGGCCATTTGCATATCTTTTTGGGAGGAATGTCTATTCAAGTCCTTTGCCCATTTTTGAGTTGGGTCGTTCATTTTTTGCTGTTGAATTTTAGGAGTTCTCCATATATTCAAGATGTCAATCCCTTATCACATACATGATTTGCAAATATTTTCTCTCGTTTTGTGGGTTACCTTTTTACTCTGTTGACAGTATTTTTTGATGCACAAAATTTTTAATTTTTGTGAAATCCAATATGTCTTTTTCTTGTGTTGCCTGTGCCTTTGGTGTCCTATCCAGAAAATCATTGCCAAATCCAATGTTGTGAAGCCTTTGCCTTATGTCTTCTTCTGAGAGTTTTATAGTTTTAGGTCTTACATTTAGGTTTTTTGTTCATTTTGAGTTAATTTTTTATATGGTATTAGGTAAAGGTCTGACTTCATTCTTCTGTATATGGGTATTTAGCTTTTTCAGCACTATTTGTTGAAAAAACTGTCCTTTCCTCATTAAATGATCATGGCACCTTTGTCAAAAATCATTTGCCCACACATGTGAAGGTTTATTTCTGGGTTCCCCATTCTGTTCCATTGGTTTCTATGTATAATGTCCGTTTTTATACGAATACTACACTGTTTTGATAATGTAGTTTTGTGGTATGTTTTAAAATCGTGAGGCATGAGTCCTCCATCTCTACTCTTCTTTTTCAAGATTGTTTTGGCTATTTGGGAGCGCTTGAGATTCCATTGAATTTTAGGATGGATTTTTCTGTTTTTCCAAAGAATGTCTTGGGATTTTGATAAGGATTAGATTGAATCTATAGATTGCTCTGGGTAGTATTAATATATTAACAATATTAAGCTCTTCTCAAGGAGATGCCCAATTGTAAAAAGAGAAAAAAAGAACGAACAATGTTAACAGTCTTCCAATCCATGAGCATGGGATGTGTTTCCATTTATGTATGTCTTCTTTACATTTCTTTCAACACCATTTTGTAGATTTCACTATGTGAGTCTTCTTTCACCTTTTGGTTAATTCCTAATTATTTTATTATTTTTGATACTGTTGTAAATTGAATTGTTTTTGTAATTTGCTTCTCAGACTGTCTATGGTTAGTATATAGAAATGCAACTGTTTTTTGTATGTTGACTTTGCCTCTTGCTACCTTGCTCAGTTCATTTATTAGTTCTAACAGTTTCTGCGTGTGGAATCTTTAGGGTTTCCTATACACAAGATCATATCATCTGCAAAAGGAGATAATTTTACTTCTTCTTTTCTAATTTTGATGCCTTATTTTTTTTTTCTTGCCTAATTGCTCTGACTAGAACTTCTAGTACTATATTGACTAGAAGAGGTGAAAACAGGTATTCTTGCCTTGTTCCTGATCTTAGAGGAAAAGCTTTCAGTCTTTTACCATTAAATGTGATGTTTACTGTGGGTGTTTCATATGTGACTTTTATTATGTTATGAATTTTTTTTTCTATTCCTAGTTTGTTGAATTTTTTTTTTTTAATCATGAAAAGGTGTTTTTTTTTTCATAGCCCTGAAAATCATCACATAAGGGTGTTGATCATGTGTTTTTTTTCCTTCATTTTGTTAATGTGGTCTAATACTACATATGAAGCATATAATTCATTGTCCTTAATTACATTCACAGTATCATGCAACCATCATCACTATCTTCCAAAACGTTTCCATCATTTCAAACAGAAACTTTGTACCCATTGAGCAATAATTTTCTATTCCCTCTATCCTCAGGCCCTGGTAAGCTCTCATCTACTTTTTGTCTTTTTGGATTTGCCTGTTCTAGATTTATTATATAAGTGGAATCATACAATATTTGTCTTTCTGTTTCTGGCTTCTTTCTTTCTTTTTTTTTTCATTGTTAACATGGTTTTGTTTTTCGGGCTGTCCATTGTCATTGGTCAGCTTGAACTAGTCCAGAGTCCAGCAGGAAAGTGCATGGTGTACCAGATTCACCATCTCTTAAGTTGCTACTGTTTTCTCTTCTTTACTGAAAGATTGTGCTGAGCCAGTCTTTACCTATGACAGGCCGGCGACACGAACACTTATTGTGCTGTTCTTCAGGCTTTTCTGAGTCAGCATCTTTTCTTTGGCTTCATCATGTACAGAAGGATTCCATGGAGAAAAGCTAATTGCATGAGTCTTCTATTTTAGATTGGTCAGACAAATGAGTAATGCACACCTTAACACTGTCAACCACTTTACTCTTAAAAAGCTGAACATCTTTCTCATACAGTATTGCAGCCTCTGGGTTTAGGGGGCTTTTTTATCAGTCTTGTAGAAAACTCTCCCTGCATATTGTTAGTACTTGCCAAATTTGATTATGATTCCACCTCCATTTTCCAAATGCTCTCTTCACATCCAGTTCATCTGAGGTGGCATCACCTAGTAGGTGAAAGATGGGAATACCGAATATCAAGCATGGATAGTCACCATCTGGATGGTAATCAGGGATGGATGTAAACTGCAAACTTAAATACACCATCTTTTTTTTTTTTTTTTTTTGAGACAGAGTCTCACTCTGTTGCCCAGGCTAGAGTGTGGTGGTGTGATCTTGGCTTATGGCAAACTGCCTCCTGGGTTCAAGTGATCTCCTGCCTCAGCCTCCTGAGTAGCTGGGATTACAGGCACGTGGCACCACACCAGCAAATTCTTATATTTTTGGTTAGAGACGGGTTTCACCATGTTGGCCAGGCTGGTCTCGAACTCCTAACCTCAAGTGCTCCACCCACCTCAGACTCTCAAAGTGCTGGGATTATAGGTGTGAGCCACCACGCCTGCCTAAATATGCCATCTTGATAAAGTCTATGCTCTATGATTATTAGTCCAAACCACTTTAATACAGAGGGATAAGATGGCTGCACATAGACACCTAATAACATCTGCTCCACAACCAAGGTAAATTCTGCAAGAAGAGAGTATTTCAGGTGGACGAGTCTATAGGAAGCATGCATGCCATTTGTTGACTCTGCTGCTGGGGCAGAAGGTGTAGGCTTAGTTATGGGCAAAGCATTTTTGGGAATAGAAGGCAGCTGTTTCTTTGGCATAGTTCATGGAAGACTGATTTTCACATCCCCTGCCAATGTTTTCAGCTTCAGATCATTTCCATATAGAGCTTGTAGACATGCTCCCGAAAGAGTTCGTAATGTGTACTCCAAACAAAGAAATTCAGTATTATGTCATCAGACTCTTCTGTCCTCAGCATTCAATTTACCAGCCTTCCGGGCATTGTGCCTCACCTCTGCACCTTCAATGTAGAGTTCCCAGCTGCCCATCACCTTTGCGGCCCAGCAGCATCTCTGGCCACAGTGCCAGTCCTGCCCCTGCTTGCTCCCTGCCCTGTCCTGGCTTATTTCTTTTCTTTTCTGAGACAGGACCTCACTGTGTCAACCAGGCTGGAGCGCAGTGGTGTGATCATGGCTCACTGCAGCCTTGACCTCCCGGCTCAAGCAGTCCTCCCACTCAGGCTTCCAAGTAGCTGGGACTACAGGCACTTGCCACCATGCCCAGCTAATTTTTTGGTATTTTTTTTATAGAAATGGGGTTTCACCATGTTGCCTAGGCTAGTCTCAAACTCCTGAGCTCAAGTGATCCTCCTGCCTCTGCCTCCCAAAGTACTGAGATGATAGGCGTGAGCTACCACACCTGGCCTGGCTTATTTTACTTAGCATGTTTTCAAGGGTCATTCATGTTTTAGCATGTATCAGAACTTCATTCCTTTTTATGGATTAGAAATATTCCATTGTATGTATTTGCCTTTTTTGTTGTTGTTGAGACAGCGTTTCACTCCTGTTGCCCAGGCTGGAGTGCAATGGCGGGCTCTCGGCTCACTACAACCTCCACTTCTAGGCTCAAGCAATCCTTCTGCATCAGCCTCCCAAGTAACTGGGACTACAGACATGCACCACCACACCTGGCTAATTTTTGTATTTTTAGTAGAGATGGGATTTCACCATGTTGCCCAGGCTGGTCTCGAGCTCCTGGCCTCAAGTGATTTACCTGCTTCGGCATCCCAAACTTCTGGGATTACAGGCGTGAGCCACCGTGCCCGGCAGTGTTTACCACATTTTGTTTATCCCTTCATCTGCTGATGGACTTTTGGGTTGTTTCCGCCTTTTGGCTATTTTGAATAAAGCTACTATAAACATTGGTGTACAAATATTTACTTGAGTCCCTGCTTTCAGTTCCTTAGATTACATACTTATGAGTGGAATTGCTGGGTCATATGGTAATTCCATGTTTAACTTTTTGAGGAACCTCTTGTTGCATTTTGAGTTGATTTGGTATAAGATATGAGGAGTGCTATAATAATTTCCAAACATGTTTTCATTCAGGATGAAGGCAAATGTTTGTCCCAGGAGAAACCCAGGGCCTCTGGTCCCTTGAAGTCACCTGCCAGTCTGAAAGCCCATACCTGCAAACAGGACTTTAGCAATACCACAGAACTAGCCACAATCAGTAAGGTAAATATTGACATCTTACCTGCAAAAGGGAGGGTTTCAGTGAGTGATGACTTCGTTCAGGAGAATCAGCCAAGACACTTGGATGCCTCTAATGAGTTAGGAGGTATATGCAGTATTTCTCAAGTGAAAGAGGAGATGCTTCAGAACAACAGTAAATCCAGTGCCCAGCCTGAAAACCTGATTCCCACGTGGTCCTCTGACATTGTCGCTGGGGAAAAAAATGAACCAGTGAAGCCTCTGCAGCCCCTAATCAAAGAACAAAAGCCAAAGGACCAGGTGAGTGATACGCACACATGAGATATTGGTTTTGGAGAGAAGACTGAAAGTGCAGTTACAAATGTGTGGGTTCTCTTGTCATTTTAGGAAAATCAGTAATTCTATGTATCAGTTTAAACATAGAAGAATATTTGCATCAAACCAAAAAGAAACCCAGTACCCTGTAACAGTCACAGCAACCTGTGCCTCCTGGGTTCAAGTGATTCTCCAGCCTCAGCCTCCTGAATAGCTGGGATTACAAGCATGTGTCACCAGGTCCAGCTAATTTTTGTAGTTTTTCTAGCAGAGATGGGGTTTTACCATGTTGGTCAGGCTGGTCACAAACTTTGACCTCAAGTGATCAGCCTGCCTCGGCCTCCCAAAGTGCTGGGATTATGGGTGTGAGCCACCACGCCCAGCCTTAAGCATCTTTTTATATACTTTGGCCAGTATTTCTCCTTTGGAGAAATAAACTTTGAATTCTTTGCCAATTTTAAAATTGGTTTATCATTTTATTATTGAATTCTGAGAGTTCTTTATTCTAGATACCAGTTCCTTATTAGATACAGCATTTGAAAATATTGTCTCCCGGCCAGGAATGGTGGCTCACACCTGTAATCCCAGCACTGTGGGAGGCTGAGGCAGGAGGTCAGGAGTTCAAGACCAGCCTGGCCAACACAGTGAAACCCTGTTTCTACTAAAAATACAAAAATTAGCCGGGCTGAGGCAGAAGAATCGCTTGAACCTGAGAGGCAGAGGTTGCAGTGAGCTGAGATTGCCCCAGTGCACTCCAGCCTGGGCAACAGAGCAAGACTCCATCTCAAAAAAACAAAAAAAAGAAAATATTGTCTCCCATCCTCTCCTCCCCTCCCCTCCCCTCTTCCTCTTCTGCAGGTCCTTGCTCTGTTGCTGAGGCTGGAGTGCAGTGATGTGATCTCAGCTCACTGCAGCCTCGGTGTCCTAGGCTCAAGTGATCCTCCAACCTTAGCCTCCCGAGTAGCTGGGACTACAGGCATACACCAGCATGCCTGGCTAATTTTTTCTATTTTTTGTAGAGACAGGGTCTCCCTATGTTGTCTAGGCTGGTCTCAAACTCCTGATTGGGCTCAAATCATCCTCACACCTTGGCCTCCCAAAGTGCTGTGATTACGGGTGTGAGCCACTGCGCCTGGCTGAGCATCTAATATGCATCAGACATAGTCCTAAGTACTTTTAGTGTATTCTCTCAGCTAATCCTCAAATAGTAATACAATATGGCTGTGGGTATTAGATCCATTTTTAAATGATGAAACTGGGCTCAGGACAATTAAGTTTCTCACATAAGACTCCATCTAATGCCAAGCTCAATGGTCTTTTTATTGTACTTTTTAGGGTACATCCAAATAACTGATGTTTACTTGGGAAATAAATTTTTATTAAATTGGAATTCATTTAAAACATTTGTTCATTTTCAGAATGGAAAACTTATGAAAAGTTATGAGGAGATTTTTAAAAATAATTGAATCAAACCAGTAGTTTTAGATTAACCACAATTTAAGTGATTTAATTAAAACAATTATTTTTATTTGGAGGAAGAGAAAAAAATCAGAACATTTGGATAACTGATGTCGGCATTTTGTCTTTGCCTGTCAGCATTGCAAATAAACATTCATTTTGAGAAAGACAACTCCTCATTATCTTTTTAATTTATTAAAAGATTTTGGCCAGGCGCAGTGGTTCACACCTGTAATCCCAGCACTTTGGGAGGCTGAGGCGGGCGGATCACAAGGGCAGAAGATTGAGACCATCCTGGCTAACATGGTGAAACCCTGTCTCTACTAAAAATACAAAAAAAAATTAGCTGGGCATGGTGGTGGGCGCCTGTAGTCCCAGGTACTCAGGAGACGCAGGCAGGAGAATGGTGTGAACCCAGGAGGCGGAGATTGCAGTGAGCCGAGATCGTGCCATTACACTCCAGCCTGGGCAACAGAGTGAGACACTGTCTCAAACATTACATAAATAAATAAATAAATATATATTTTTTGAGACACTCTTGCTGTGTCACCCAGGCTAGAGTACAGTGGTATGATCACGGCTCATGGTAGCCTTGACCTCCTGGACTTATGCAATCCTCTCACCTCAGCCTCCTGGGTAGCTGTGACTACCTGGCCTGGCATATCACCACATCTGACTTTTTTTTTTTTTTTTTTAATGGAGATGGAGGTCTCTCTATGTTGCTCAGGCTGGTCTTGAACTCCTGGCCTCAAGTGGTCTTCCTGACTTGGCTTCCCAGAGTGTCGGGATTACAGGTGTGAGCTACCACACTCAGCTTCTTCTCATTTTCATTGTGTTTAAAAGTAGGCATGGGCCAGGCGCGGTGGCTCAAGCCTGTAATCCCAGCGCTTTGGGAGGCTGAGATGGGCGGATCACAAGGTCAGGAGGTCGAGACCATCCTGGCTAACCCGGTGAAACCCCGTCTCTACTAAAAAATACAAAAAAAAACTAACCGGGCGAGGTGGCGGGCGCCTGTAGTCCCAGCTACTCGGGAGGCTAAGGCAGGAGAATGCCGTGAACCCGGGAGGCGGAGCTTGCAGTGAGCCGAGATTGCGCCACTGCACTCCAGCCTGGGCGACAGAGTGAGACTCCGTCTCAAAAAAAAAAAAAAAAAAGTAGGCATGGAGAGTTTGACCATTTGGATGTTCAAAAGACTATTCATTATTTTGAGTTTTTGTGTGTGTTTGCTTCCTTTTATAATTATTATTTTTTAACTGTTGCATTATGATTTAATTTTATTGCACAAAATTTGAAATCGTAACTGCTTTTGTTTTCTTTTTCTTTTTTTTTTTGAGATGGAGTCTTATTCTGTCACCCAGGCTGAAGTGCAATGGCGCGATCTCGGCTCACTGCAACCTCTCCCCGCCAGGTTCAAGCAGTTCTCTTGCCTCAGCCTTCTGAGTAGCTGGGATTACAGGTGCCTACCACCATGCCTGGCTACTTTTTGTATTTTTAGTAGAGACGGGGTTTCACCATGTTGGCCAGGCTGATCTTGAACTCCTGACCTCGTGATCCGCCCGCCTCGGCCTCCCAAAGTGCTGGGATTACAGGCGTGAGCCACCATGCCTGGCCCTCTTCTTTTGTTTTCTAAGAGGAAGGTTATGTATACCTCTGTATTCAATTCTGCATTGTTATATTTGGACCATATTGTGAACTTTACATTGTGATGGGTCAATTTACAACTTCCAGGTAATACTTTAAATTGCAATATGGAAACAGTTTTTTGAGGAACGTTTTCATGCTAAAGACAAAAACCACTTTTTATGGGCAGCTTACTTTAGTACCAGGTTGCTGCTATACTTTAAAATGTCATTTTATTATTTTTAAGGATCAAGTTACTGGTGAATGTACTATAGAAAAACAGGGCAGAATCCACCCAGATTTACAGCCACACAACTCTGGGTCTGAACCTTCTCTGTCTCGACAGCGACGGCAGAAGAAGAGAGAACAGACTGAGCACAGAGGGGAAAAGAGACAGGTTGGCAGAGATCTCTTTGCTGTAAGTCATTTTGCTTTGGTTTGGGAGGTGGACTTTGGGAAGCTCAGTTTCTATTTAGAGCAATTAACAATTGCCAGAAGGCACATAAGAAATGCAAGGAACATATACAGAAGGGTGACAATGGCAAGATGCTAAATACTAGTTTTCAAATATCAGTGAGTTGGAAGAGAGTAAGGATTTTATCTTCTCCAGCAAAGATGGACAGATCATTTTGAAAGTTAAAGGAATAGGCTAATGAGGGTAAACCTTTGACCCCATCTGTATTGTACTGATGAACAGTTCTTTCTTCAGCTTCTCCACAGAATCATGTTGACATCTCATTTCTTGAAATGACTTCAACAGGTATCCTCTCCATAAGCTTCTTAGATGATTGACTTTTGGCAGAGTCTTTTCAAAAAAAATGCAATGTTTTGAAGGTTTTAAGAGCAAACCACTGACACATACATAGGGAACCTGCTGATAGGGGAACATTGGAAGGGGCTATATATGAAACTGTTAATCTTCTTTTTTAATTATTTAAGTTCCAAGAGTCGCCTCCTCGAGTTTTGCCTTCTCATCCCATTGTTGGGAAAGTGGACATCACATCAATACAAAAAGAGGCTGAAAACCAGTGTAGAGTGGTCACTGGGTCTGTGAGCAGTTCAAGGAGCAGTGCGATGTCATCATCAAAGGTTTGTGGGAACATATGTTGGATTTTTAAAAACCTTATAGTCAGGTGTGGTGGCTCATGCATGTAATCCGAGTGCTTTGGGAGGCTGAAGCAAGAGGATCAATTGAGCCCAGGAGTTCAAGACCGGCCTGGGCAATGTAGTGAGACCTTGTCTCTACAAAAAATTTAAAAATTAGTAAAATGTGGTGGCACATGCCTATAGTCCCAGCTACTATGAGGCCAAGGTGGGAGGATGGCTTGAACTCAAAAGGCAGAGGTTAAGGTGAGCCGAGATCATGCCACTGTACTTCAGCCTGGTACAGCACTGTACAGAGCGAGAAGCTGTCTCAAAGCAAAACCCTCCAAAACCTTCTTATTGGTTGTAAAATCTTGTGTATATTATGAAGTTTTGTATTAAAACATCTTAGCTCTGCTTCTTGCCAAACACTGGAAGGGACAGATGGGACAGATATGATCTCGGCAGAATCTTTTTTTTTTTGAGATGGAGTCTCACTCTGTTGCCTAGGCTGGAGTGCAGTGGCATGATCTTGGCTCACTGCAACCTCCGCCTCCTGGGTTCAAGCAGTTCTCCTGCCTCCGCCTCCCCAGTAGCTGGAACTACAGGTGCCAGCCACCACGCTTGTCTAATTTTTGTATTTTATTAGAGATGGGGTTTTGCCATGTTGGCCAGGCTTGTCTCAAACTCCTGACCTCAGATGATCCACCTGCCCCAGCCTCCCAAAGTGCTAGGATTACAGGTGTGAGCCACCGCACCCAGCCTCAGCAGAATCTTGGATTGAAATGGACAGATTCTGTGGTTTCAGAGATGGTCACTTCCAGTGAATTAAAGAAACCAAGTAGGCTGGGCAAGATGGCTCACGCCTGTAATCCCAGCACTTTGGGAGGCCGAGACAGGCGGATCATGAGGTCAGGAGATGGAGACCATCCTGGCTAACACGATGAAACCCCGTCTCTACTAAAAAATATAAAAAATTAGCCAGGCGTGGTGGCGGGCGCCTGTAGTCCCAGCTGCTCAGGAGGCTGAGGCAGGAGAATGGCATGAACCCGGGAGGCAGAGCTTGCAGTGAGCTGAGATCAGGCCACACTGCATCCCAGCCTGGCCTACAGAGCAAGACTCCTTCTCAAAAAAAAAAAAACAAAAAAACAAAAAAAAAACACAGAAACCAAGTAGATTCTGAATATGGCAAATGTGAAAGTCCCCATTTGCCCTTCTAAAAATGAGCAACTACCAGAAACGAGGGCTGTGATCATTTCTCGCTAGTAGCTATAACCCTGCTGTGGGCTGGTTTCCAGTGGACACTCCTGTAAGTCCAGTGCAAGACCTTTTTTTTTTCGGTCTTGCTCTGTCACCCAGGCTGGAGTACAATGGCGCGATCTCAGCTCACTGCAACCACCGCCTCCCAGATTCAAGCAATTCCCCTGCATCAGCCTCCCGAGTAACTGGGATTATAGGCATGTGCCACCATGCTCGGCTAATTTTTGTATTTTTAGTAGAGATGGGGTTTCACCATGTTGGTCGGTCTGGCCTTGAACTCCTGACCCCGTGATCTGCCCACCTCAGCCTCCCAGAGTGTTGGGATTACAAGTGTGAGCCACCGCATCCAGCTGAGACCTTTTTCTTAATGCTGGATGATACATCATGGATTGTATAAGAATAGCAAGTAGGAATGGAAGTGACTCTGTGACTTTCTTTTAAAGGATCGACCATTATCAGCCAGAGAGAGGAGGCGACTAAAGCAGTCACAGGAAGAAATATCCTCTTCAGGTAAAGTTGACTTCTTTTCTTCATCTAATTGGCAGTTAGAGGTATGGTCCGTGGACAGAAGCACTGGTTCTGACTATGAGAGGTTGAAACTTTCCAGCAGCAGTAAAACATGTAGGAAATTGATTTGGAAAAGATTTTGAAATTTCTTAGTCAAGCCTTTTAAGAAATCATCATAGGGTGTTGAATCTGGTTCAGATATCAGCGGAAGGGGATGTTAAAGAAATAACAAGAGGGCTTTGAGTGGCAGTAACTCTTGGGAGGTTTCAGACCAGAAATCAAGTGAATGTTTAACTTTTTTCCATGTCCAGTGTCCACTAGTCAGTGAATTGCTCTCATCTTAGGAACAGAGGGAGGTTGCTGGGGGAGTGGTGCTGCCCTAGGCTGAGGGCTATCATTCTTTTTATTATTTTTTAAAGATAGTACTAGCAGTTTCCATTTATTGAATGCTGACCATGTCTTAGGCATTATGGTAAACATATTAAGGGTATTATTTCATATTTACAGTAATTGCCAAAATATGCATTATTATCACCATTTTGCAGCTGAGGAAACAGAGGCTCTGAGGAGTTAAGTAACTTGCCCAAGGTCACAGAACTGGTGGACCCAGAGCTAAGATTTCAGCTGAAGTGTCAGACACCAGAGTAATGATAAATATGCTGTTTGAGTTACTTTTGGGCCAGCTCTTGCTGGGGTACGTTCCATACCAAATACAAAGCCTTCTTCAATTGGGGCAGCCCACCACAAACAACTACTGGGGATGTTTGCTTTTTCAGGCCCTTCAGTGAGGAAAGCTTCTCTGAGTGTAGCAGGGCAAGGAAAACCCCAGGAGGAAGACCAGCCCATGCCCGCCCGACGGCTCTCCTCTGACTGCAGTGTCACTCAGGTGCATTACGTACTCCTAAGAGAGAAGAAGGTGGACAGTCTACTTCTGGCAGGCCTAATGCAGTAAACCTTTTAAATGTCAGCTCCATTTATTTTTGGGACAGGGCCAGCTTATTACATCTTTTCACTCTTGATAAAGAAAGGAACTGGTAAATAATAGTCAAAAGGATTATGTTTGACCCATTAAGGAAATAAATTTTTCAGGTACTCTTATAAACAATTGATAGCCTAATTGAAGATATTTCTTAGGTTGGTCTTTAAAACAGGACTTCCTGGCCTGATGCAGTGGCTCATGCTTATAATACTAGCACTTTGGGAGGCCAAGGTGAGAAGATTGCTTTAGCCCAGGAGTTTGAGATCAATCTGGGCGACATAGTTGGACCCTGTCTCTAAGAAAAAAAAAATTACCTGGCAAGGTGGCGCACACTTGTAGTCCCAGCAACTCAGGGGGCTGAGGTGGAAGGATCACTTGAGCCCAGGAGGTCAAGGCTACAGTGAGTTGTGTTCATACCACTGTGCTTTAGCCTGGGTGACAGAGCAAGACCCTGTCTCAAAAATATAAATAAATAAGTAAACAGAACTTTCTAAGGACTTGCACTAGGCAACACTTTGCTCAGTCTGCTGTGATACCAACATACCCATCTGTGTTGCCAGATTCGAGTCTCACTTGCTAATCATTCCTCAGTTTCTTATTTGTGTCAATGTAGTTTACCTTCTTGCCTGTAGATGATGTAGGGACACCATCTTTTGGCTAAATGGGTAATTGCTAGGTTTCTAACCCATGCTCACCTCTCTGTATAATACTCTGGGAATTTTTCCTGCTCTTTGAAAGTAATGGATGTATTATTTCTTTAACTGTATCATTTAGTTATTTCACTAATAGAGGCTGCCTTCCATATCCCAGAGTTGTAAGGTCTATGTGTATTATTAGGTAATCCTTTAAAGCACTTTAACAGTCTCACATTAAGAGCAAGCTGAAGCTGGGCATGGTGGCTTGTTGCTGTTATCCCAGCTACTTGGGAGGCCAAGGAAGGAGGATTGCTTGAGCCCAGGAGTTTGTGGCCAGCCTGGGCAACATAGTGACACCCCTGTATCAAAAAACAAAAACAAAAACAAAAAAAAGGCAAGCTGAGGTTGCTTAGGTAATTTAAAATGCCAACATTCCTATAGAGCAAGCTCTCTGCTTAGGAGTTGATACGCCGGAACTAGCCATCCACTCTCCTCTGGAAATTTCTTCACAGCTGAGACTCTTGTAAAACTTCACCTTGGCCAGGCGCGGTGGCTCATGCCTGTAATCTCAGCACTTTGGGAGGCCGACGTGGGCAGATCATGAGGTCAGGAGTTCAAGACACCCTGGCCAAAATGGTGAAACCCTGTCTCTACTAAAAATACAAAAATTAGCTGGGCATTGTGGCACGTGCCTGTAATCCCAGCTACTTGGGAGACTGAGGCAGGAACATTGCTTGAACCAGAGAGTCAGAAGTTGCTATGAGCCAAGATCGTGCCACTGCACTCCAGCCTGGCAACAGAGCAAGACTCTGTCTCAAAAAAAAAAAAACCAAAAAATAAAAAATAAAAACAAAAACAAACAAAACTTCACCTGATGTTCTTCAGTTATTCTTGTGAACTTTATAAGTGAACTGGGATATCATATGGGTAAAATCAGTTTTTGTGCTTTTTTTTTGCCACAAATCATATGGGAACAATTTTTGTATTTGTTAGATTCTCCTGCTGTATTGCACCTAGGAACATATTGTGTCTAGTTGTTGCATCTAAGACTGGTTCAAGTATCACATTCTGGTTGTGTTGTCATGTAGAATTTTATGTCTTCCAAACATTTAATAGGAAAGGAAACTGATTCATTGTCTGTCTGAGGATGAGTTAAGTTCTTCTACAAGTTCAACTGATAAGTCAGATGGGGATTGCAGGGAAGGGTAAGTTCTTGTTTTTCTGTCTCCCTTTATAAACTATTTCTTTTTTAATGAATATTAAATGTACATTTTCAGTAGTATTCAGATATCTAGTATTCCCACTGATAAAATTATAAATGGTTTGTGGCATATGCTGGAGCTAAAAAGTCTCTTTTTTTTTTTTTTTTTTTTGAGACGGAGTTTCGCTCTTGTTGCCCAGGCTGGAGTGCAGTGGCATGATCTCAGCTCACTGCAACCTCTGCCTCCTGGGTTCAAGCGATTCTTCTGCCTCAGCCTCCCTAGTAGCTGGGATTACAGGCATGTGCCACCACGTCTGGCTAATTTTGTATTTTTAGTAGAAACAGGGTTTCTCCATGTTGGTCAGGCTAGTCTCAACTTCTGACCTAAGGTGATCCGCCCGCCTTGGCCTCCCAAAGTGCTGAGATTACAGGTGTGAACTAATCTGGCCAAAAATGTGTCTTCTATGCACATGTCTGACTTTCTTTTCTTTTTTTTTTTTTTTGATGGAGTCTTGCTCTGTCACCCAGGCTGGAGTGCAGTGGCGCGATCTCGGCTCGCTGTAACCTCTGCCTCCCAGGTTCCAGCAATTCTCCTGCCTCAGCCTCCCGAGTAGCTGGGACTACGGGCGCGTACCACCACACCCTGCTAATATTTTGTATTTTTAGTAGAGATGGGGTTTCACCATATTAGCCAGGATGGTCTCGATTTCCTGACCTTGTGATCCACCCGCCTCGGCCTCCCAAAGTGCTGGGATTACAGGCGTGAGCCACCACGCCTGGCCTGGCCGTTATTTCTTCACATTTTTTTTTTTTTTTGACTTCTTTCTGCCCTCTTAGGGATTCTAATTACATGTATATTAGACTCCTTAAATTTGTGCCACAGCTCACTGATGCTCTGTTTATTTTTATGTTTTTAAAAAATATTTTATTTTTTATTTTTATATTTTTTTTGAGACAGAGTCTTACTCTGTCGTCCAGACTGGAGTGCAGTGGCATGATTTCGGTTCACTACAACCTCTGCCTCCCAGGTTCAAGCGATTCTCCTGTATCAGCCCCCCGGCCCCCCCGGCCCCGAGTAGCTGGGATTACAGGCACGCGCCACAATGCCCGGCTACATTTTTGTATTTTTAGTAGAAACCGGGTTTCACCATATTGGCCAGGCTGGTCTTGAACTCCTGACCTCAGGTGATCCGCCTGCCTAGGCCTCCCAGAATGCTGGTATTACAGGCATGAGCCGCTGCACCTGGCTTATTTTTACTTTTTTTCTGTTTCACATTTCATAGATTCTATTGCTATGTCTTTGAGTTAATTAATCTTTTCTTCTGCAATGTCTAATCTGTTAATCCTATCCCGTGTATTTAATATATTGTATCTTTCATTTCTAGAAATTTGATTTGGGTCTTTTTAAAATATCTTAGTGTCTCCTTAACATGTTCATGTTTTCTTCTATCTTGGCCATATGGAATATATTTATACTACCCATTTTAATGTCCTCATTTATTCTATCGGTTGTGTCATATTTGGGTATGTTTCTATTAACTGATTTCTTTCTCTTCACAAATGCATGATATTTTCCTACTTCTTTGCATATCTGGTTATTTTTGATGGGAGGCCAGATACTGAATTTTACCTCATTGGAAGCTGGTATTTTGTGTTTAACTGTTCTTGAGCTTTGTACTTGAGTGTGGTTAAGTTACTTTGAAACAGGCAGAATTTATACACAGAATCTGGGGCTGTTTCTTTTAGACTGTCTCCAAGGTTCCTCTGTCACTTTCTAGTGACAGTGGTTGTTCTGAACTCTCCTTTCTGTAGGCCAGAAAGATTGTGAGTTCTCTTGTACTTTGATCTGCCCATGGCCTGCCCTCAGGCTAAAAGGTGTTGGCTGTTCTCCCAGATCTGCCTGCAGATTTTGTTTATTCTGCATTGCCTTTACATTGTTGAGTTTTGTATTTTGTCTAGAGTTTGTAGTTGTTATTTGCGGAAGTGTCAGGTCAGTCTGTAGGAGCTTACTTGGACATTTCAAAGCAGAACTCCCTAAAGGTTTTGCATGTGATTTTTTAACGAAAAATTCTCATGAAGTCAATTAAATAACAGAGGGATACTTTTTTCCCCCAGGAAAGGTCAGACAAATGAAATTAATGCCTTGGTACAATTGATGACTCAGACTCTGAAACTGGATTCTAAAGAGAGCTGTGAAGATGTCCCGGTAGCAAACCCAGTGTCAGAATTCAAACTTCATCGGAAATATCGGGACACACTGATACTTCATGGGAAGGTTGCAGAAGAGGCAGAGGAAATCCATTTTAAAGAGCTGCCTTCAGGTGATCAGCTTATTATTATTTTTTATTTTTTAGATGGAGTCTCACTCTGTCACCCAGGCTGGAGTACAGTAGCGTGATCTTGGCTCACTGCAACCTCCGCTTCCTGGGTTCAAGAGATTCTCCTGCTTCAGCCTCCTGAGTAGTTGGGACTACAGGCATGCACCACCATGCCCGGCTAATTTTTGTATTTTTGGTAGAAACAGGGTTTCACCATGTTGGCCAGGCTGGTCTTGAACTCCTGACTTCAGGTGATCCTCCCACCTTGGCCTCCGAAAGTGCTGGGATTACAGGTGTGAGCCACCACACCTGGCCCAATTTATTCTTTTACAGCAAACTGGAGAGCATGTGTTTATTGGAGAAATATGTCAAAACAAGGAACTAATGCCTATAAATTTTTTTGTGTTTTTAAAATTATTTCATTTCCATATCTCTGTAAAAGGTATATCCTGTGTTATGCAACAGAGGTATTCCTGAAAAGTTACATGAAAATTGATTTTTAAAAATAAATAAATAGATAAATGTTCGTGGTTTTTCATGTGACTTTTCTTCAAGTTAGACAGTTGTGGTGTTTTTAAGGTTTAAGAGATGGTAGTGAAGCTTAAGTTCATATGTAAATTTTAAGTCATTAAACCAAACTCTTGTCATAGGGAAAAAAGAATGTTAGTATATCAAGATTTTTTTAGAAACAGGCCTGCTGGGTGCGGTGGCTCATGCCTGTACTTTGGGAGGCTGAGGAGGGCAGATTGCTTGAGTCCAGGAGTTTGAGACCAGCCTGGGCAACATGATGAAAACTTGTGTCTACAAAAAATACAAAAATTAGCCAGGCATAGTGGTCCATGCCTGTAGTCCCAGCTACTCAGGAGGCTGAGGTGAGAAGATTTCTTGAACCCCGGAGGTTGAGGCTGCAGTGAACCATGAGCATGCCATTGCACTCCAGCCTGAGCGACAGAGCAAGACCCTATCTCAAAAAATCAAATGAAATGAAATAAAAATAAAATAATAAAATAAAATTAAAAAAAAAAAAAAGGCCTGGTGTGGTATAATCATGCCTGTAGTCTCGCTGCTTTGGGAGACCGAGGTGGGAGGGTTGCTTGAGGCCAGGAGTTCAAGACCAACCAGGACAACATAGACCCCATCACTACAAAAAATTTAAGAATTAGTTGCAGGTGGTAGCGCATTCCTGTAGTTCTGGCTACTTGGGAAGCTGAGGCAGGATGATTGCTTGAGCTCAGAAGTTAGAGGCTATATAGTGAGCTATGGTCACACTGTACTACATCCCCGTGACAGTACAAGACTCTGTCACTTAAAAAAAAAAATAGGCCAGGCACAGTGGCTCACGCCTGCAATCCCAGCACTTTGGGAGGCCGAGGCGGGCGGATCACGAGGTCAGGAGATCAAGACCATCCTGGCTAACACAGTGAAACCCCGTCTCTACTAAAAATACAAAAAATTAGCCAGGCGTGGTGGCGGGCACCTGTAGTCCCAATTACTCGGGGGGCTGAGACAGGAGAATGGCATGAACTCAGGGGGCGGTGAGACGAGATCGTGCCACTGCACTCCAGCCTGGGCAACAGAGCGTGACTCAGTTTCAAAAATAAAATAAAAATAAAATAAAATGCAAAATTTTTAAAAATTGTGGTGTTCTTGCTATAGTGGTAAAAAAGTGTTTATTTTTCCCTTTGTCTTTGTTGTTGCCTTTTAGCTATCATGCCAGGTTCTGAAAAGATCAGGAGACTAGTTGAAGTCTTGAGAGCTGATGTAATTCATGGCCTGGGAGTTCAGCTTTTAGAGCAGGTGTATGATCTTTTGGAGGAGGAGGATGAATTTGAGAGAGAGGTGAGTGTCTCATTAGCTGTGTCAAGCTGCTTATGTTATAGAATTTTTTAAACAACCTTTTGAAATATAAATCACACATAACAATTCACTCATCTAAAGTGTACAATTCAGTGGTTTTTACCGTGTTTACAACATTGTACAATCATTACCATAATAGATATTAGAATATTTTCATTACCCCCCAAGAAACCCTGTACCTCTATACCTGTTAGCGGTCACTCCCCATGGTCCCCATTGCCAAATCTGAAGTCATGAAGATTTATTTTTATATTTTCTTCTAAGAGTTTTTTAGTTTTAGCCCTTTTAGGTCTTTGGACACTTTTTTTTTTTAAGGAAAATTTAAACTTTAGGTTGGGCGTGGTGACTCACGCCTGTAATCACAACACTTTAGGAGGCTGAGGTGGGTGGATCACCTGAGGTCAGGAGTTCCAGACCAGCATGGCCAACGTGGTGAATGGTGACAGCCCATCTCTACTAAAAATACAAAAATTAGCTGGATATGGTGGCACGCGCCTGTAATCCCAAGGCAGGGGAGGCTGAGGCAGGAGAATTGCTTGAACCCAGGAGGCGGAGGTTGCAGTGAGCTGAGATTACGCTACTGCACTCTGGCTTGGGTGACAGAGCAAGACTCTGTCTCAAAAAATAAAAATAAAATAAACTGTATTACCTGTTACCTAAAACATGAGTACTATGTACATTCTGAATCAAAGAGCTACAAATTATAGTGCCAGCAGTTAAATGTGAATCATACTCAAGAATTTCTATATTGGTAGTTTTCTTTTTTTTAATGAAGTTTCATTTGATTCTGATAGACTACTGTATGCCTGATAACCTAGTGAGAATCCATGAGTTTGGTAGTTCACACCATTTTAGAAAGCACATAATAGTAACATTCAAATAAAGCATTATAGAAAGTTTTATAAAGAATGAAGTGCTGGTTGGGCAGGGATGGGTGGGACAAAAAAAAAAAGAAAAGAATGAAGTGTTTACTATAATTTATTTTATTTTTTTGAGACTGAGTCTTGCTCTGTCACCCAGGCTGGAGTGCAGTGGCACAATCTCAGCTCACTGCAAGCTCCGCCTCCCGGGTTCACGCCATTCTGCTGCCTCAGCCTCCCGAGTAGCTGGGACTACAGATGCCTGCCACCATGTCTGGCTAATTTTTTGTATTTTTAGTAGAGACGGGGTTTCACTACGTTAGCCAGGATGGTCTCGATCTCCTGACCTCGTGATCTGCCCGCCTCGGCCTCCCAAAGTGCTGAGATTACAGGCGTGAGCCACCGCGCCCGGCTTGCTATAATTCTTTTCAATCTTGAAAAATCGATGGATTTTTAAAATATCAGAAGACAAGGAAAATGAATTCTGCCCCACCCAAAAAATATACATAAGAACCACTTACTGGCACTTGTATTTTAAGTACCTGGAAAAAAACGGGACAGATTTTTAAAGGCAGTTAATAACAGCTGTTACTGTTGTAACCAAGGGAGTTATAGAGAAACGCCACACTTTGAGACAAATTAAGGAGTCCTTTATTAGCCAGCGACCGAGAGGCAGCTGATGCTCAAAATTCTCTCAGCCCCGAGGAAGGGGCTGGTTTTGTTTTTATACCGTAGTCTAAATAGGGGAGTGGGGGGAATTTAGCTGAAGCAATTTTTACAGAAGCAGAACTGGCAAAAAGTTAAAAAAGTAATTGGTTACAAATGCAGTTACAAAAACAAAAACAAAAACAAAAACAAAACCAGTTCCAGGTGCAGGGGCTTAAACTATCACAAAGAGATAAATGCAGAGGTTTTGGGTGCCATCCACCGCGTGCATCCCCAGGAGCTGCTGGTGCAGCTTGCCTCAATATCTTATCAGTAGGTGCATTCTGGACATGCTTTGAGTCGGTTTACACTAGTTATGCACTTAAGGGAGGGAGGTAAAGGGGGCTGCAAGTGAAGAAACTAAAATGGAGTCTGTCCGGCTATCTCTTCTAGGAGAGAGTCCCTCAGGTTAAAACAGGGTAAGGTATCACATTCCCCACTCATGTTTTGGGGAATCAAATCATTGATTCTTCAGTTATAGCAAGGGGGTTATACTGGGTTCTGAGATACATAAGTTTGACAGAAGCTATGCGCTGCTTTACAAAGTTAAGGAACCAATTTAATATACAAGTCCTGAAGATTAAACTTAACAAGAGGAGGAGAAGGTGTCCTACCAATCCAGTAATTAAAGTAGTTAGCCATGGATTTCAGTTGAACATGCTTTGATACCAGGGGGTGTTACTTTCTCGTTCTTGTTGGCGTCTATCTAGATTTTCTTGAACTCTTTGGAGGGTATCTTTTATGACTCCAGACTGATTGGCATAGAAACAGCAACTCTATCCTAGGGCTGCACATAATCCTCCTTGGGAGAGAAATAGTAGATCTAAGCCTCAGCGGTTTTGAAGAACTACTTCAGTTAGAGACTTTACTTGGGTATGTGGCATATTTATGGCTGACTGGAGATTGCTCAAATCAGCATCTATTTGCTGAGACAGGGACATTAGTCCAGTTTCGCCTTGAACCAGAAAAGCCGTGCCAATGGCTGCTGACCCAGCTATGCTAAGGCCGGCCAGGAAGGGTACTAGGAGCGGGGCAGCTCAGCGAAACCTGGAATGCAATTCAGGGGGAGGAATAAAAAGTTGCCCTTCTGGCCAATATACCTGGGGGAGTACATGCCTTCTGGCCCTCTGTACACATAGACCTGGGGGAGTACATGAATCAACACACACAGGAGAGGTCCGGGTTCAGTCCCGTTGATGCAGCCAGTGAGGCCTGAAGTACAAGCCAACCAGGTATTGTTAGGTGCCTGGTAGGAAACTGAGGCATTTAAGGAAGTAAGTAGAGATTGATTACAGGTGACCTGAAGGGAGAAGCAGATAAGTTATAGCTGTTGCTAATTAGGAGGCGTTGCCTGATACGTCTCCTAGTGTAAAGGCATGGGGTTATGTATGACAAGAAAGAGAGTTAACCTTGAACATGGCCTCTACTCCTAAACCAACGTAATATGGGGGTTTTGCTTTCAGGTACAACCAACAATCTCGGGCTAGTTTAGGCTGGGTGAGATTAAGGAGGTGATGCACCCCATCCAGAATGGACATCAGACTGGGTTGGAGATGTTGTCGTTGTAGTTGAGATTTAGGAACCAGGAGTGGTGGGACAGTTAAATCGACCCTGTCTGGGTGTTTTTGGAACATAGGCTCACCTAAATCAGTTAGAGGTCCTGTTGGCTTAGGAGGGCTTCATGGGACCAGGACCTTTTTCTGAATGGTGAACATAGTTCCAACATCAAATCCTGAGATATAAAGCCTTAATCCCCATGACATGCCATAATACCAATGAACTGAATTAGAGTTATGGACAGTTATAGTAAGAGGGTTGCAATTTCTTATAGTACACGGTCTAGGACGGGAAGTGTGAGTTATGGAGAGGGTTGAGGACCAGGTTGATCCTCCAGAGTAAGTGGCCAGGGTTACACATGACCAGTGAGGGCAGAAAAACTAAAAGGAATCTTGACAACTAGAGTCAGGGTGATTTCCAGGACAGAGGTAAAAATCAACGCTCTGGAGTCCTTTTTCTACTCCTTTAGAGCTCCCACATCCAGTCCGGCTTCCTGTATGTGCAAATCCTGTGCCAGGTCAACGTTTCCTGCTCTCGTGACCGGCAGATTGCATTGCTCTTCGTGGGTACAGGCAGGCTCTGGGAACAAAGCACATAAATCGACTGCAAAAGAGACTTCTTTGGAGGTTCCTGCCTTCCAAGTAGTGTTTGCACACACATGTCCTGTCGTGAAAGAAGGAGAATAGAGTAGGATGGAGCAGAGGGCATGATAGATGGAAACAAACAAAAGAGGTAAATAAAAATAATTAATTTGATGGCTTCACGCAACTTAGACGCATTTTTTTTTTTTTTTTTTTGAGACGGAGTCTCGCTGTGTCATCCGGGCTGGAGTGCAGTGGTACAATCTTGGCTCACTGCAACCTCCATCTCCCAGGTTCAAGTGATTCTCCTGCCTCAGCCTCCTGAGTAGCTGGAATTACAGTTGCCCGCCACCATGCCTGGCTAATTTTTTTGTATTTTTAGTAGAGACGGGGTTTCACCGTGTCAGCCAGGATGGTCTCGATCTCCTGACCTTGTGATCCGCCCGTCTCGGCCTCCCAAAGTGCTGGGATTACAGGTGTGAGCCACTGCGCCTGGCCAAGACGCAGTTTTTTTTTTTTTTTTTTTGAGACGGAGTCTCGCTCTGCCACCCAGGCTGGAGTGCAGTGGCCAGATCTCCGCTCACTGCAAGCTCCGCCTCCCGGGTTTGCGCCATTCTCCTGCCTCAGCCTCCCGAGTAGCTGGGACTACAGGCGCCCGCCACCTCGCCCGGCTAGTTTTTTGTATTTTTTAGTAGAGACGGGGTTTCACCGTGTCAGCCAGGATGGTCTCGATCTCCTGACCTTGTGATCCGCCCGTCTCGGCCTCCCAAAGTGCTGGGATTACAGGCTTGAGCCACCGCGCCCGGCCCAAGACGCAGTTTTAAGGGGCCTGGCTCAGGCTTGGGGATCCATGTTTCTTGCTGGGTCTTGCTGGCCTTTTTGATGCAAGAGATAAATCCAAGCAGGAATGCCGTCCACCTTTAGAGCTGTCGGCGTGGTGAGGATGATAGTATGAGGTCCTTTCCAGGCAGGAATGAGTCCTTCTTTCGAGAACTTTTTAACGTACACCAGACCACCCGGCTGGAAAGAGTGGCAGGGTCCTATCTGGTCAGGAACTGGATTTGGGTGTGCTCCCCGGACAACCAGCTGGATGATGTCTCGTACCTGTTGGAGAGACTGCAGGTACTGTAATAAATTAGCTTGAGAGATTTCTGCTAAATGGGTGTCTCTCAACGTAGACAAGATAGAGCCCTTCCTTACATAATTTCAAAAGGTGAAAACCCAGCTCGGTCAGGGTACATCTTACTCTAAGAAGGGCTAAAGGAAGGAGCCTCACCCAATTCTCACCGGTTTCTAGAATTTTTAAGAGTATTTTTTAGGTGCGGTTCATGCGTTCTACATGTCCAGAGCTCTGGGGTCGATAGGCACAATGGAGTTTCCATTTGATGTTTAATGCCTTGCTGACCGACTGAGCTATGGATGATGTGAAGGCTGGCCCATTATCAGACCCTATGGCAACAGGCAGCCTGTGTCTTGGGATGATTTCATTTAGTAAAAACTTTACTACTGTAGTGGCAGTGTCTACTAGCACCAGGAGGTACTTATACCCTGCCCAGTGCGGTTTTATCTCTGTAAAATCAATTTCCCACCTTTCTGCTGGTGAGTCTCCACAGAGACGGTGGCCTGGGCTGGGTTTGGGACCTTGCTTGGTGTTTACCTGAGCATAAGCGGTACACTGGAGAGCTGCGTGGTTAGCTAAGTCCTGAAGGTGGGGGATCTTGAAACGGCTCCTTACAAGCTGGGCCAGTTTTCCTCCTCCCAAATGGGTGGTAGAATGCAAATGACTGATTAAAGTTTTCCCGAGGGCTCGGGGTATGAAGATTCTGGAATCAGGAAGAATCCACCAACCTTCCTAATTTTTATTAGCCTGAAGATGTGAAGCCTGTTTCTCTTCCTTTGTGGAGTATTTTGGGTGATTTGGCAAGTTGGACTGTGGAAAAGACACAGTGGGCAGCAGGACCAAGGGCACTACTGGGAGCCGAGCGGCTTCTCGGCCGCAGTCTGCTCTTCGGTTACTATGGGCAACAGCTGTGTTTTCTCTTTGATGTCCTTTGCAGTGAATTACAGCCACCTGCTGAGGAAGCCAAACAGCTTCAAGCAGGGCTAAAATTTCTTGTTTTTTAATAGTCTTTCCTGCTGAGGTGAGTAGTCCACACTCTTGATAGATGGCTCCATGTACATGTACAGTAGCGAAAGCATATCTACTGTCAGTGTAAATGTTAATATGTTTGTCCTTACCCCATTGGAGAGCCTGAGTGAGGGTGATCAATTCAGCCTTCTGGGCTGAGGTACTTGCTGGCAACGCCTGGGCCCATAGCACATCTGTCTCCGTAGTAACGGCTGCACCAGCCTTTTGTACTCCCTGTTCAAGGAAGCTGCTACCATCTGTAAACACGGTGGCATCTGCCTTGTTTAGGGGCACATCTTGGAGATCAGGTCGGCCAATTTCCGTAGTTTCTAAGAGTTGCTGGCAGTCATGGACAGGTGTAGTGAAGTCTGGATCAGGGAGTAAAGTAGCTGGATTTAACCACCTTGTGGGAGAGAAAAATCAGGCTGATCTAACAGTAAACTCTGATACTGCAGGATGTGAGCATTTGACATCCATTTGCCAGAAGCACTTTGCAGCAAAGTCTCTATGGCATGAGGAGCCGTAAGGGTTAAATTTTGGTCCAGAGTCAATTTATCAGCCTCCTGGACTAGGCTTGCTGTTGCCTGTAGCTTGCAGACAGCTTGGCCATCCAGAGGCCACAGGGTCCAGTCTCTGCCAAACAGATAGGCTACTGGGCATCTCCAGGGTCCTAAAGTCTGAGTGAGCTCCGCCTTAGCAACTCCCTGGCTCTCATGAATAAAAAGGTGAAATGGTTTTGAGATATTAGGGAGGGCTAGAGCAGGGGCCTCAGTTAATGCCTTTTTCGGGTTTTTGAAAGCCTGTTCTTCGGTGTCAGTCCAAACTAGTGGGCCATTCCCTCCAGTAGCAGTGTACAGGGGCTTGGCAATCTCTGCAAACTCTAATATCCACAGGCGACGGTATCCCACGGCCCCCAGGAATTCACGTACCTGTCTTTTGGTGGTGGGAGTGGGGATTCACAGGATAGCTTCCTTACAAGCACTGGTGAGTGCCCTTTTTTCTCTGTTTATCTCATACCCTAAGTAGGAGACTCTGGGAAGACAAAGCTGGGCCTTTTTGGCTGAGATGCCCGAGTTCCTGAAGGAGGTAAAGTAGGTCTCTAGTATGTTGCAGGCAGCTATCAGTAGTTTCAGTAGCTAATAAAAGGTCATCTACGTACTGAAGAAGAGTACAGTTAGGGTGTCTGGCTCAAAATGGTATAAAATCCTGTTGGAGGGCTTTCCCAAAAAGGGTGGGGGAATTTTTAAAACCTGAGGTAACCGAGTCCAGGTCAATTGGGTGGTGTCTCCTGAGCTAGGATCTGTCCATTCAAAAGCAAAGATAGGTTGGCTTTTGGGGGCCAGAGGAATAGCAAAGAAAGCATCTTTTAAGTCAAGGACAATGTACACTGTGTGTTCTGGTGGGAGCAGGCTGAGTAAAGTATAAGGTTAGGGACAGTTGGGTGGACAGTGACTGTCTGTTAACTTCCGTTAAGTCCTATATAGGTTGGTAGTCATTTGTTCCGGGTTTTTGGACTGGCAAAAATGGAGTATTCCAGGCGGACTGACATGGTGTATGTAAGTATGCCAGCTTATAACAGTTGCTGAATATGGGGGTTGATTCCCTCCCTAGCCCGCTGACTCATAGGATATTGCTTTATCTGGACTGGCAAGGCGGTGGCCGGGAGTTCTACTACCTCTGAAGGGTGGTGCTTAGCCAGTCCCAGGGGGTTTAACTTGGCCCAGACTCGAGGAAAGAGTCTGTAAGTCCAGTAGGAGAGGATTAGTTTTATTTTCTGGCGGTTGTGAAGGTGAAACTAAGAGATATTCTTCTGACAGAGGGGTGGTTAGCAGGAGCTGAGTAGCGGGAGGTGGTGTGTCCCTTAGCATGAGGTGAGCTTGTTGGGCCAAGAAGGAAATAGATTTCTGCAGCTTGTGGGGCAGGTCTCGTCCTAGGAGGGGAAAAGGACACTCTGGGACCACAAGGAACAAATGGGTTACTCTTTTCTGTCCTAAACTCACCTCTCGTAAGTGGGTGACAGGATATTCTTGAATAACTCCAGTAGCCCCCCATACAGCCACTTTTTTATTAGAGACACTGCCTAGGGGCATCTGCAGTACTGAGTGATCCGCCCTCATGTCAATTAGGAAGCGTACAGGCTGGCCCCCAACTGTGGCGGTCACCATGGGCTCCTGGGGGCCAAGTGTAAAGGAGCCCTGGCCCATCAATCATCAGATTCCTCTGCAGCAGGGAGGGTGAGGACTTTTTTCTCTTTTGGCTTTTCCTCTGGTCTTAATGGGCATTCCTTTTTCCAATGTCCCATCTGCTTGCAGTAAGCGCACTGGTTTTTCTCCAGGGGAGCCCGCTCCCCTTTCTGAACCTTTTGGCGGGGACCCAGGGTTCCCTGACCATTTTTCTGTGATGGGGGTCTTTCCTTCTTGACTTCCGGAATGGCAGCCGCTATGATTTTTGCCTGTCTTTTTGATGCTTTGTCAGCAGCCTTTTCAGCTGCCTGAGCTGCCTGTTTCTGCTTTTCAAACTCTCAGTTGTCAAAAACCTTTTGGGCTATCTCTAAAAGCTGACTGATGTTCATTCCGGCAAATCCCTCTAGCTTTTCTAATTTTCTTTTGATGTTAGGGGCTGCTTGAGCCACAAATGCCAAATTAAGAGCATGGCTATTTTCGGGAGCCACCAGATCAAAAGGGGTGCCAGTCCGATAGGCCTCCTGGAGGTGTTCCAGAAACGCTCCTGGTGACTTATCAGGCCCCTGGACAACTTCAGTTGTCTTAGACAAATTTATGGGTTTTCGAGCAGCTCCCTTGATACCCACAAGGAGATACTGGTGAAAATTGTCTAAAGCTCTCCTTCCACCCGAGGAGTTTGGGTCCCAATTAGGCCGGGTAGAGGGAAAAACCTCTTCAATTTGGTCTTGGGCTTCCTCTTCTGGCCCACTCACTGATGTAATACTTTCTGGCCTCCCTTCTGGTACGTTCCCTCTTTTCAGAGGTGAAAAGGGTTAAAAAGAGTTGCTGACAGTCATCCCAGGTGGGTCGGTGAGTCCGGAGCATGGACTCCATTAGTGAGGTCAAAACCTGGGGCTTTTCAGAAAAGAGGGGATTATGAGCCTTCCAGTTGTACAGGTCAGAGGTAGAGAAAGGGACATAAACTAGGAAGGGAGCTGAGCGCTCATCACCCGGAGGGATTTAGGCCTCTCTCAGTGGGAGGAGGGGGGCTACCTCCTCCTGCCTTGGCTGCAATTGGGAGGCTATGGGCGGAGAGCCCACAGGAGATGTAGTCGAGGAAACAAGGGAAGAATCTTGGGGAGCAGGAGGCTTATAGGGCAGTGGAACTGCATGAGGAAAACTTTCCTCTTCTTCAGACGGAGATAGTACAGGAGGAGCCGAGAGGGCTGAGAGTCCGCACAAAAATGCGGACCGACTCAAAAGGACCTTGGAAGTGGGATCATGAATGGTGCATGAGCGGAGCCAGGGAGAAGGGCTCTGGACCAAATCCAGCCATTGATCAATGTAGGGAAACTGATCGGGGTGACTGGGACTTCCAGTAACGACCCGCCACACAGCCTGAACAGCTGTGGGGTTAAATGACCCTTCTGGGGGCCACCCAGTTGCAAACTGTGGCCATTCTACTTCACAGAGTGTCCAGAGTTCGCCTTTCTTCAGGCAGACTCCGTAATCCTCTGAGAAGCCTCAAGAGAAATTCTGCAACATACATTGGAAAGGACTCACTCTTCACAGGGCTGGGAAGAGGAGTTTCCCATTTTGGAGGCAGTTTAACAAGGTTTGAGCAGAGATATTAAACCCAGCATGGACAGAGAAATTCACAACCTGGGGGGCTGGCGTATCGGAAGAACAGAAATAACACAACCAGAAAGAGCAGGAAAACAACTATAGCCAACACTTCCTGCCACATGAAGTTGGTTTTCTTAAGCTTTAAGATATAGGGAGGAGGACTAGAGGCCGACCCGAGGGCTCCTTGGCCAGCCGGACCTAGATGACCTCCCTCTTCCCCTTGACCTACAGCCTAAATATTTTTGGTGTCTCCATGACTCAAAGACAAAAAGTTCCAACTTGACCTTCTCTTTCAAGGGTTTTAGGAGGGAGAGCAGAGCCAAATCTTGGAGGCGCTGGACTTGCTCTGACACAGGAAAACAAGATATGTAGGGTAAGGGATAAGGATGAGAAGGAAAGGGGCCACTCGGATCTTTTCTAAGGTAGGAGAGTAGCCACAGGGGAACAGAATAAGAGTCCAGACAGAGTAAAGCAGTATGAGCGTAGGCTTCTCTACACAGACTTCAAAAGCACGTGAAAAGTTACAGGATGACAGCAAAGGTGGGCAAGGAGGTCTGCAGGGTGGCTATTTTGAATCCACCACTGATCTAATGTGGAGGCGGTCCAGTCACTTGGGCATGGGATGTGGCAATCTAAACTCCAGCAGCCTTTATGGTGCCAGAAATTCCAAATGGGCAAGTGTTTGCCACACCCCTTCCTGTAACACCACCTGATTTGTTTCTGACAGAAAAGGCAGGACTGGGACGGCCAGCCCAAACAACTGATGAGGAATTTGACCTCCTGTGGTAGAAAATCAGTATTGAGGACCTTGAAGAAGTTCTTTCCCAGTAGCCTTGGGCAGTAGCGGTGACCTGACAGATGAAACTTAGAAAGACACTAAACAAGACAATAGACACTAGTGCATATAAACAAGTTTGACAATTTTTTTTTTTTAATAGACAGACAAGGGGTAGGGATCCTGTGATGGGATCAGTCAGATGCCTGCCTGGCCGCTCCCCCTGAGGGGACTTAGGCTCCTTGTCCCCTCATTGGCATTGGCAGGCTGGTATAAACCCCTGGCTCGGATTGAGCTATGGCCGATGCTGCCTTAAGCCTTATGAGGTCGCCACAGAACCGCAGGTGAGGGCCCACTCGAACTCCGTAGCTTTCGCTGTGGACAAACTGGAAGTTCAAGCACAAGCCCTTGACCTCCCCATTCACGCACTCATTCACACAGAGTTTATAACAGTTTTATTCTTCTTCTAAAACAGAGGTCTCCAGGAGACCTGAACAAGAGAAGGAGAAGAGATAGAGAAAGAGACTGAGAGAGAGACTAGTCTTTAATGGAGAGGCCGGCCTGCCAGAAACCGGGACTCAGTCCTCCAGTGTCCTGGAATACGGACAGAGTCAAGGGAGGGCCCCCGTTAGGGCCACTTCCCTTCCAGAGAGACACAGAGGCACCTAACAGAAAACCAGGACTCTGTCCTCCAGTGTCCTGGAATGTGGGCGGTCATAAAGGGAGGGCCCTCGTCAGAGCCACTTCCCTCCCAGAGAAACAGAGTCAGATCTGACTTACCTTTCTGGGACCAGAAACTGAGGACTCAGGAGTTGAATTTTTGTGGGAACACACCGGTGGTTCATCCTTCCCTTTTGGATAGACGAGGTCTTATGGGGCCCTGGAATGTCTTCAGGTGGCGGCTCCCCTGTAAGTCTGCCATCTGTCTGGGGGAGGTTGGAACGAGTCTGGCTCTCGCCCGGTGGCCAAAATTCTCACTGGGGCCTCCAAATGTTGTAACCAAGCGAGTTAAAGAGAAACGCCACACTTTGAGACAAATTAAGGAGTCCTTTATTAGCCAGCGACCGAGAGGCAGCTGACGTTCAAAATTCTCTCGGCCCAAGGAAGGGGCTAGTTTTGTTTTTATACCGTAGTCTAAATAGGGGAGTGGGGGGAATTTAGCTGAAGCAACTTTTACAGAAGCAGAACTGGCAAAAAGTTAAAAAAGTAATTGGTTACAAATGCAGTTACAAAAAAACCAGTTCCAGGTGCAGGGGCTTAAACTATCACAAAGAGATAAACGCAGAGGTTTTGGGTGCCATCCACTGTGAGCGCGTCCTCAGGAGCTGCTGGTGCAGCTTGCCTCTCAATATCTTATCAGTAGGTGCATTCCTGGATGTGCTTTGAGTCAGTTTACACTAGTTATGCCCTTAAGGGAGGGAGGTAAAGGGGGCTGCAAGTGAAGAAACTTAAAATGGAGTCTGTCCGGCTGTCTCTGTACTAGGAGAGTCACTCAGGTTAAAACAGGGTAGGGTATCACATTACAAGGGCTTGTTTCATTTGATTTAGCACCAAGTAAAGTAAGAGTAAATATGCCATGGAAGACATAGTTGGGTTTTTCCTCCACTTCTCATATTGCCTCACTTCTCCTACCAGACCACACAGTACATCAGCAACCATCCTTGTTGCCCCACTATGGAATCACTTTAGATTCCAATTTTTAAATGGCCGGTCAGATGACACCAGTAGAATTCTTTCCCCTTAAGAAAAGGTGGCAGTGAATGCCAAGACCAGCTTGGTAGGGGAGACTCTAACCCAGCAGCGCTAGAGGAATTAAAGACACACACATAAATATTAGAGGTGTGAAGTGGGAAATCAGGGGTCTCACAGCCCTCAGAGCTGAGAGCCCGGAACAGAGATTTACCCACGTATTTGTTAACAGCAAACCAGTCAATAGCATTGTTTCCATAGATACTAAATTAACTAAAAGTATCCTTTATGGGAAACGAAGGGATGGGCCGAATTAAAGGAATAGGGGCTAGTTAACTGCAGCAGGAACATGCCCTTGAGGCATAAATCGCTCATGCTATTGTTTGTGGCTTAAGCATGCCTTTAAGGGGTTTTCCGCCCTGAGCGGGCCAGTTGTTCCTTGCCCTCATTCCCATAAACCCACAACCTTCCAGCCTGGGCGTTAGGGCCATTATGAACATGTCACAGTGCCGCAGAGATTTTGTTTATGGCTAGTTTTGGGGCCAGTTAATGGCCAGATTTTGGGGTACCTGCTCCCAACAAGTGAATGCTAACAAGTATCAGTTTCTTTGATCAGAAACAACTCCTTCAGGAAGTTCACTTACTTTCCTGATCCTTGTTAATGTATCATGTAAATCATTTTTATTGGCACACCTGCTTACTAATTATGGTTGATTGCTATTTATGGCAAAGGAACAATCCCCAGGCATGCCTGATCAATTTACTAATGACAAAGTGTGCTTACTTTACATAGTGCCATGGGTTTTCTCTTTTTCTTTTATTTTTGGGAGGGCGGTACAATACTTTGTTATTTATCAGGGCAGATCTCATATATTTGAATCAAAAAGAGAAACTGGTAAGTAAATCCTAAAACATATTTCTTAACCTGAGTAACATCTGTAAACATAGACTTTAATTACATTTTGTTGAAAAATTCATTCAACTTTGGTGCTTATCCAAGAACTTATAATGTCAATTTCTGACATAAATAATAACCCTCAGTACATATGTATTTTCAAAAGAAAACAAGTGATCTTAAAGTAGTATTTTTATCTATGCTAATTATACATTTTTATAGCAAATTGAAAATTCTGAGCAAACTGAAAGTATGTTTAACACCAAAATAAATTTTGCTCTAGCAAATGTTTTAAAAGTTTAGACATCTCTGATGTTTTTGAAGATAAGTGGATAAAACACACTAGATGATTTCAAAAGATGAATCTTAGTATCTATATCATTTGACACTTCCTTAGTATTCAGAATAAAATTAGTAGAAATAAAAGTAGTACGATTTTTCAAAGAATTCATACATACTGGAAGTCTTAGGAAAAGCAGCTTCTAAATGGAAGGCCTAGGAGGTTTCCTATCTTAATTCGTATCATGTATTTCTCCTCATGGAGTAACTGAAGAGCTTTCTGGCTTGTTTGTGGAACTTTAGTTGGTAGGAAATCATATACATAGGGCCAAATCTTCTTGGTTTCTGCTCTGGAGAATGTTTCCATTACCCCTTTTTTTCTGGTAGTATTCTAAGACTGGCTTTGTTTCGGCTCACAAGCCTTTAGTCTCTTGATAACCATCTCTGGTTTATCATCCTCTTGCTGAATGAGAGGCTCCCCAGTCAGATGATCAATGCTAACAGTTTTGGGAGGGTTGAATTCAATGTTGTAGACTTGGCCACTGATGGGATGAATTGTACTGGTAGTTCTGATTAAACTCTGTACTCTGATATAACTGTTCTGTCTTTTTTTTTATTTTTTTTGAGACGGAGTCTCGCTGTGTCACCCAGGCTGGAGTGCAGTGGCGCGATCTCGGCTCACCTCTACCTCCCACGTTCAAGCGATTCTTCTGCCTCAGCCTCCCTAGTAGCTGGGACTACAGGCGTGCACCACCACACATGGCTAATTTTTGTATTTTTAGTGAAGACAGGGTTCACCATGTTGGCCAGGATGGTCTCGATCTCTTTTTTTTTTTTTTTCTTTTTTTTTTTTTGAGACAGAGTCTCACTCTGTCACCCAGCAGGCTGGAGTGCAGTGGCACGATATCGGCTCACTGCAACCTCCGCCTGCCAGGTTCAAGCAGTTCTCCTGCCTCAGCCTCCTGAGTAGCTGGGATTACTGGCACCCGCCACCACACCTGGCTAATTTTTGTATATTTAGTAGATATGGGGTTTCACCATTTTGGCCAGGCTGGTCTTGAACTTCTGACTTCGTGATCCACCCTCCTTGACCTCCCAAAATTCTGGGATTACAGTCGTGAGCCACCGTGCCTGGCCTATGGTCTCGAACTCGACCTTGTCATCCACCCGCCTTGGCCTCCTGAAGTGCTGGGATTACAGGCGTGAACCACTGTGCCTGGCCAACTGTTCTCTTTTTATATATTATTTTTATATCTATTATCTTTACATTTGTAAGGTTACCTTTCAGTGTGTATCAGTAGATGGGTACTGAGGCTTGAATGCAAACTGAATTCTTTGCGACGTTTATTACGTTTATAAGGTTTGTCACCTATGTGAGTCCTCCAATGTTGTGTTAGCTATGAAGTACAACTGGAGACTTTGCCGCATTTATTGCATCTGTAAGGTGTGCAGTGAATTCTCTCCAGTATGAATTTTCCAATGTCATGCAAGGTGTAAATTTTGATTGAAGACCTTGCCATATGAATTACACTTGTAAGGTCTCTCTCCAGTATGAATTATCTGATGGTTGGTTAGGTATAACTTGCGTCCAAAGACCTTGCCACATTCACTATATTTGTAAAGTTTCTCTCCAGTATGGATTAGAAGATGGGCTATAAGTCCTGAATGCTTGCTTAATGCTTTCAACATTTGTTAGATTTGTAAGGCTTCTCTGTACTATGAATTATTTGATGCCGTGCAATTGACCAAAGACCTTGCCACATTCATTACATGTGTAAGGCTTTTCTGCAGTATGACATCTCTGAGTGAGGGAAAATTTGTGCCTCAAGTTCTTGCACACTCATTACATTTGTAAGGTTTTTCTCCAGTATGAATTACAAGATGGGTAGTAAGTCCTGAACACTCTAAATGCTTTACCACATTCATTACATTTGTGAGGCCTCTCTCCAGTATGAATTATTTGATGTCGTGCAAGGTTTGAATTGCTGTTAAACACCTTGTGACAGTCACTACGTTTGTAAGGCTTCTACCCAGTATGAATTCTCCAGTGATCTACAAGGTGTGGTTTGCAACTAAAGACCTTGCCACATTCACTGCATTTGCAAGGTTTATCTGTAGTATGGATTACTTGATGGTTAGTAAGGCTTGTAGACACTCTAAAAACTTTGCCATCTTAACTATGTTCATAAGATTTTCCTCTAACGTGTGCTTTGCCTTCTTGTGGGAGTAATGGGAAATCAATAAAAATCATTTCTATATTTATTTAAAGTGTGTGTTTTAACACTAGCAGAAATTTTTTGAAGTGGTGGAACTGAGGAACTATGGTTTGTAAACTTTTCAACTTGATTACTTCCACAAATTTTCCTTGTAGCTTAAAATAGCTGCAATTCAGGCAGATGTGACTGAAAGGTTAATCCAAGTTGATTTTTAATAAGCTCGTTTTCTGTATTACTTCCCAATGTGCAGCTCTTCCCTGTATTCACACCTTTGATGCATTCCCTGCCATCTGGATTGTTTGCTATCTTCACCCTGCAGAGTCCAGAGCTCTTGCCTTGTCTCCAACATGGAGATAATGCTCAGGTCAGGAAGACAGATTCCCAGGAAGACAGATTCCTGTAGTTCTCCTATATCACCTCCCTGTATAAAGCCCTCTGCACAGGGTTCAGTTATTTCCACTCCTGAGAGAATTCTGTAGCCACATCCATGAATGTCAAGTGACTGAGTAAGAGTCATTCCTGATTCCTTTTCTTTCTTCTTCTTTCTCTTCTGGGCTTCTTCATCACATAGCATGACTCTTTAGAAATAAAACTGTGAGACCAGGCACGGTGGCTCATGCCTGTAATCCCAGCATGTATTAGTCTGTTCTCACACTGCTAATAAAGACATACCTGAATTGGATAATTTATAAGGAAAGAGGTTTAATTGACTCACAGTTCCATATGGCTGGGGAGGCCTTACAATCATAGCAGATGGTGAAGGGGAAGCAAGACACATCTTACATGGCAGCAGGCAAGAGAGTGTGTGCAGGGGGACTGCCCTTTATAAAACCATCAGATCTTCTGAGACTTATTCATTATCACGAGAACCCCATGGGAAAAACCCACCCCCATGATTCAGTTACCTCCCACCAGGTCCCTCCCACGACACGTGGGGATTATGGGAGATACAATTCAAGATGAGATTTGGTTGAGATACTTTTGGAGGATGAGGTGGGCAGATTGCCTGAACTCAGAAGTTCAAGACGGGCCTGGGCAACATGGCGAGGCTCCTGTGTGTGCTGCAGCATGACCTTCACTCCACGCAATCCACGTCCAGGTCTCACTGGACACATTTTGAGTTAATTCTTGTATATGGCATGATGAAGTAAAGCTCC